AGAACTTCAGCTTGTTACCGGCAAAGAAAAGTTTTTCACCTGATAGATTAGATGTTGATGTCCTTGAGAAGATCCTAACATTTATTCACATCAGTAATCGTGTTTGCTCGGCAGGAATATTCTTAAGAGATCTGTTCTAATAACATCGTATTCAGTTATACGAAGGATTCTATATTTGTTTGTTGAGTGGGTTACTGGGGGATGGAGCGAAGATATAATTACTTCAAGGTTCAGGTCGTCCAGGGACCATATCTGAGAAAAACCCTTTGTTAATGCTCCTCTAATTGCTGAATGGAATGAGTAATCAGAAAATGAAGGAACTCCATGGATTCGATAAACTGTATAAACCGTACAAAAGCACAAAGTGCCTTTCCTATAGCGCTAATAATTCTTCTCTGATCTTGTAAGTTTCAGATTGTAGGTGAACTTCAGTAGCGAAATCTTTCTGTGCAACAGTCGTGTGATAAATCGTATTTCTAAGAAAACTTAAGTTAGGTTCTCATTCAGTTTTCTGGTAATTTTGAGTTCACGCTCACAAATTATAGCATCATTTGAGGAGTGAGATTTCCAACATCATTTTTCAGTGATGGCCACCTCCAAATTAGGATATTCCAGTGTTGTCTAGAGTGACCAAAGTAACGGTGATGCTATGAAGCGAACCAAGGTTTATTCTATCTCAACTTTTTTTATATCAGTCTATATTACGGGATGGCCTAATATCCACAAATTCAGTTGTTATCTCAGAGATTCTACGGGCTAGTACTGAAGATTTCGAATCGCCTGTATGCGAGCTACCACATTTCTGGTATTTCTATCTAAATGAATGTATTGTATACGGTTTGACGTAGCTCTGCAACTTCGTTTGTTGTTTGATAGACCTGCAATCACGCAACTATAATTAGTTGCAGCTCTCCTCCAAGTACGATGGACTGAGGTTACCAATATCATGCCGAAGTAGGTCGATTTACAGATAACATTTGTTACGATATACTGCTCTAATACTGAAAATAATAAGCGACGCCGCATTTCATACCATTCCCCTTGTGGGGTTTATATTGTTCACGCATATACGATACACGACCTTAGTAGAGGACCAAAGTAAGCGCCAGATGACATTTTATTCAGCGCACTTACAAATAGCCACACTCGACTAGTTCGGACCAGAAATTAATTAGAGAAAAATAATTCACGTACTTAATAGTCGGTAGACAATGCCTACTTGTCTATGGTCGATTACCAGTCATATTTTCCTTTCACCATCACGCGTCTCCAATTTACCTCATCTTACAGTGGGGTCTCATGATGTTCTATGTTCTTGCCCTATTTGGTTTTCTGGGTATAGTCCCATACAGACTTTTAGGAGACAAATGCAAAATAAGACAAGTAGAACGACATATTCAACGTAAACGCGAAGTTTGAGTAGTGACCAGTAGAGACACGCAGTCTCAATAATATTCTCTGCCTGTAGATCTTCATTATTCTTCATTAAACTTTGGACGTCCAAAGGTCAAAATTCGCAGTTATAGTGCATTCAGTTCGAAGAATCATGCATTTAGGGTTCATTGTTGTCCTAATGTCACAGCATAACAATGGAAAACACGTCAATAATATTTCGGTCTAAATTTAAAAAGTACGTCGGATATGAAGCTTCAAGTATGAATTGTAAATGGTCTCCGTTGAACTTCATCTATTCAGGTTTCATGTGTTCCTCAAAAAACAGGTCCTTCACCAAAGATAGTATGCTACTATGAAAGTTTATCTAATGAACTGTAGTTCTTATTAACGTTTTTTGGTGGTCTTTCAAAATTCTTGATTCTTGGACAATGGCCTCAGAGTGAATACTTCGTACAACAGCTAATGTCAGATCTGAAGTTTCTTTATTCAATGTTATCTTTATAAAACTTTGGCTCCGTGCAGACAGATCCAACAAAGCACATATGTGCCCGTTAGCTTCATCCGGCTTTGCGCTTCACGTTATCATGTCACATTATTTAGTTTATTGACTTTTTTAAGCCGCTCTATTCCCGCTACACAATGGATCATTCACTACTAATTGACATTTACATCTAGCAGTTCGTGTGTAATGCATTATTTACAGATCGATTCTACTCAATTTAAGGATCTAAGACTGGGAACCACATGGAAACTTACAGACAAATAGTTCCCAAAATTTTATTAGACTTATTTCTACTATATTACTAACCGTACACGTAATGATGAACAAGCTTGTGGAGCGTCACTTCTACTTTTATGGTTTAGGTCTGAGCAGGTTTCAGTACACTTATCAATGCTATTAGAATAAAAGACCTGATTCAATTTTTTCGAAGTGTCATGAAGCGACTATCTAATCTATAAGATCCTATGACCGACTCATCCAATTTTTACAGTCAGAAGTATGGTTTTGGGTACCTCAGAAGTGAACACTTGGGCTGATCCTAGAATAGCGAATCTAGTATGCAAAGCAAGAGGTTGTGTGGAGTGAGACATGCAGTTTTTACTAATTGTCCTCACACCGACTTTTACTCACAAAGCAGGGAGCAATATTCAAGAAATAATAATGTTACTAGATGAAACATCTGGGACGAATTTTTGGAAGTATTCATTCTTCTACATCAACTGGATTTTGTATTATACTCATAAGGAAGCACCAGCTTAGTAATCAAAAATCATTACACCAGACGTATTACAACTGATTGGTTCGTTATCCGGTACGGATAAGCTTGATTTAGTAGTGATTAGTCTTGATTAGACCTAAAATCATGTGTTTATGCGAAATTTAATTCTGATTTTATTCTGGTCGAACTATTAGGCTTACACCTCGCCCAACTGTTACTCCCAGCCGCAATAATCAACATAATAATGTGAAGCTTAAGTTTATAATTTCGTCAGAAGGAAAATGTTTTTGCCGAATTATGTTTTTGTTTGTTTGACGGTACAATCGATAACTTCATTTATATGTAATAGTTCACCGTATTATATATAGGTTTTCAAGCTTTAGGATGACTGAAACACAAATATTTGACCAATATATGACTCCAAGCCAAACAATATCACGACAAAGAAAATTCTGTAATCAAATGGAAATTTACTGATCGTAATTGCAAATCCATCCGAATATCATCTTGTGCCATTAACATAAGAATAGATTCATTAAAAATCTTTGGTTGTATGATTTTCCAAAGTCCGAAAATACAATTTATGAAAGTATTGATAACTTGGGAGTGTTGAAGCAAATTAGTTTATGTTCATTTCAATTGTTTTAACTGCTAGATGTGGTGTAAAGGTGATACGAGGAGAATATGAGGAGGATTTTCCGAACCACCACCTGCTAACTAGAGCCCAGAAAAACTAAAAAGGTCCGTATCCATATCTACTTCTTACAAAACCATTTTCAGGGAATTAAGTGCCTTTGTGACTCTCTTATCTGGTTATGGATCTCTATCAAGCTTAGAACAATCTTCCAGAAGCTTCAGCTCGATAGGTTTTCTGACCGTAGAAACTCTAGTGGTAGCCCAATAGGGTTGACTGTCACATGCCCTTACTAACTACAGAAAGAAGTCTTGGTAAAACGTAGAGAAATGACTTTTTCACATTTTTCAGATCAACTAGGTCTTCTCACTGTTCTATCAAACTTTATGAAGGGGACTAATTGTTTTAAAGTAGAGAAATGAATTCAACGAGCACTCAGAAAGTACGACATCAACAAACATACTACTCAAGCTTATTTATACAAGGATAAAATGCCCTGGGTAATAGCCATAAAACGGCCTACTAAGATAATCCATCAACGAATGACAGTCTAGGATCTCCCGAGGAGGAAATGCAAGCTGAGGGTCGTAATGAGCGCCTTTGGCGCGAAAACATAAAATTCGAAATTTCAGAATAAAATTACAAAATTAGGATTTTTCGCAAGTGAGTTCTGCCAATCTAACGTCCCCATCAAAACCTTGGTGTACGTCTCTGAACATTTTTACACAACACCGAAATACCGAGTTAAATCTTATGACTTGTTTCATATGTGTTTGGCAATAGAGGACGATAAATGTTTATCATCTACTCTAATTAGGTCATCCCCGTTTTTGCTGTTTTGTAGGTACATGTTCAGATACCCTAACCTGTCATCCATGTGTATTTGTTGCCACACATACACACTTAAATAGATGAACGCAATGGGATATGAGGCAATCGTATATTCGCTTTTTATGTTTTCAACTTTGTTTTCCTATGATAATGATCACTGTTGCAAAATTCTTTTAACTCATAACAGATTTGAGCCCTTGCTTCAACACAAGACTATTTGACTTACCTCTGAACGGTAGATTAACGTAAATGAGCTTTCATGGAGCTAAGGATGTCAGCGCATACTAGTAACAAATCTTTAAGAATTGTTAAAGGAACAGGTAGTGTTAGGTTGTTCAAAGATATATATTCACATAAAATATCAACAGTCTCTTTTAAAGGCGCATACATGAACAAGGAATTCATATCGCAAGAACACAGTTTCTTTGTTTAATATCGCCAAAACACTTGGCCGGCTCAAAAGAATACTTCACATACTTACATAAACACCTTCGAGTAGGATCCGACGATTCGGTAAACTGTTCAGCTGGGTTATATGTAGTTGACCGACACACAGGTAAATCTGGACGTAAAGGAATGTTGGATTTGTGAATTTTGAGTAATCCACATTAGTGAGAATATTCAGAGCCCAAAGGATTGAGGAAATCATATTCCTCTTTGTCACTAATATTTGTGTGTAATATTTTCTCCAGGTTTGATTCCATTATTCCCTCTGGTTTGTCATCACCTTCAATTTCGAAATCAGGAATAAAATTATTTTTTTAACTGAGGATCGATAACCCGATTATTCTACCTTCTGTCTGTCGATAAATAAAAAAAACATCCAGAACCGTAGCGAAAGAACAAGAATTGAGCGCATAAAGTCGGTTGGTTTAATCCTTCGAAAATTATAAGGACTCTATATTGTTATCAAAATAGCGCGGTGTTGAAGTTAGTCGGTACAACAAGTCCATAAATGCAAACCCTTGTGCTGTCGACCAGTATGTCTACATTCAAACTCCCTTATGAATCTTGACATAAATAACTGAAGTACTGTGATATATTGGAATGAAGTATGACTATGCCGACTAGCTCCAACTACTCTTAAGATAGACGGTAGAAAATCTTGGTCATAATAAGCCAATCAGAAGCCAGCAAATATGACCACCTATTTAAACCAGTGGCTTTTAATGCTAAATAAAGGGTTTACGAACAATATATTGGAAAATTATTGATAAACATATCTGAGCTGTTAGCTATTTTTGGGCAACTTACACCCCTTAATTTACCTTTCGCAGTTCTAAGTGTGACGAGTTCGTCAGTTAATGCAAAGCAATTTTCAATAACTTCAGCAGCTTAAAAATGCATTTGGAAAGTGAATTCAGCTTTCGAAAATTTAAGCTGATCGGCTGAACAGAAACTAGGTGGTATAAACAAGTGATCCACTATGTAGCACGCGAGACCAAATCGGTCATAATCAAATCCTGACTCACTATATAGCCGGAAAATCCAGGTTCATAACAGGGTAAACAACGTGTTCTAAACTTACCAAGATAGCCCATTCAACTGGTCAGTGACTTCATGGATTTGTGCCATGTTCTGGTCTGACCGTCCTTAGCTTCCTTCCAACCTACTCTTACACCACATAACATCGCTCGCCGAGGCAATTAACCTGACGAAGCGTGAATATGTTTTCCGTACAGCCACATCTAGGTCTGAAACCAGCCTGGTTTTCTCAAATCTGCTCTTCACGAGTTCCAGTTAAGCGTCTAAGTATTACCAATGCTAAAAATTTAGACTTCATATTGCTTAAACTGATTCCTCTGTGATTGTCACAAGAGGACGATTTTCCTTTCTTATAGGCTGGGACAATCAGTGATTGAGACCAGCTGGATGGGATTACGCCCAATTCCCAGATTCTACCTAAGATCTCAGTCAAAACTGGACCACCATCCTCAAAAATCTCAGGGGTAGGCCTGTCAAGCCCTTCAGCTCTCCGTTCCAGATTTCCTATAGCTTTTTCAATTTCATCAAGAGTCGGACGACTTACGTTGATTTGCCATTTAGGTGCCTGATTGAAATTTCATGTTGTTCGTCAGTACCTACGAATGAAAATCCTAAGTTCACTGTTGTAGCCTTTTGTTATTGAAAATTCAAACTTTATTAGCATATTGCTTACTCGTGGGTAAAGGGTTACTGCATATTTTCGTTGCACTCTAATTCGGATCCTTATATAACAACCTCACTATAGTATCATTATCTGTTCGATTAGCCGCGACACCACAAGATCCATCGAGGTGTCTTTCCTTTACACTTAGTCTACCTACTTGAGCAGTGAAGTCACCAGCCACTATTACTACATCAGGGCGCCTAACTTTTTGGAGGAGGTCTGAAACCTTTCTGTAAAACCCATCTTTTACTTCGTCTGAACTTCAGTCAGTAGGAGCGTAGGCAGATACGACGAAGAGGCATCGGCGATTGTCCCTATCTTTCCGAGTCCTTACTGACCCGTTTAGTCGGACAGTGCACAAGCGACTATCTACTTGAATCCAGTCTAGGGGCGCTAGTTCTACCCTAGGACTCATGGTATACCTACAGTAGCGAGGCGATGGGAAGCAGCATCAAAGCTTCCAGATACACGAAAAGCAAACCGAGTTCTCCATCTGGACAAGGTGAAACCAGATTAGTGATTCTGCTCGGATCCCTTATGCGCTTTTTGGAGATGCGGCATACATAGATGGCGCGGAATTCCAGAGTCCTAGCTAACGAAGCCTGTTCCCCTATTTGACACGAGGTTCGAAAATTCAAAGCTCCGATACGTAGTTAAGAATGAGGTTTTAGGAGACCAGGAATAACATTTTACGTACTTGAATCTTTTACATAAGCGGCGAGCGGTGATGAAGGGATGAAAGAAGTTTTGGTCGTGGAAGGATTTGATTTTGACCAGTTTGGTCTCGTGTGTTGGTACGGGTATGATGGTGGTTGTCACTTTCCGGCTGCCCACACCGTACCTGATTACTTTTATGCAACCAGACTAAAAGTATTTGTTGTAAGCCATAAATCGCAATCTCAAGTACTTAAAAATGACACTGCCTTGTTCGCTGAGGATTCCGCGAGTTACATATTTTTTAGTAATGTGGTAACATGCAAACAGTCTATGTATAGTAACGTTCGGCGTAATTTGAACCACCCTATCACCAATGCTATTATAACCTTACTCCAGCCGTAAAATGTGTGGCTACTCAGCCGGTTTACTTTAGGAGTTCTGGTATGGTTTTGAAACCTGGCCCCTTTGTGACAAGGAGGTTCAAAGGCTCTAAGTTCGATTACCCAAGTAACCGTAAGATCTACCAGGGTGCTTAGATAAAGAGATGTCTAACGAGTCGATATTTCCATCTTGATACACTGATTTGGGTGACTTAAAGATGTTCCACAAATGTCATTTAAACAGCTCCCATAAAGCGGGACTAATTAAAAAACTAGTCAATTTATGACTGTTATGGATTGGAAAATAGCTCTCGGCTCATTAAGACTCCGGAAGGAGCTTTTAATTTCATTTAACTCATTGGCTTAAAATGCTATCAGACAATGTTCAGAATAGGAACATGGTATTTTTGTACCTTATTCGTCATAAATGTTAGGTGAGCCTCAACTGAATGGTGTCTATCTTGGCTATTTTTGATTAAATCGTATCTTTTTCTAAGCGCTACTATTACTCATTGTTTATTAATTATTCGATCCTTTACTCTTCTACTTCTGAACATTATTATTGTTTTGTGGTGCATTTTTATATGCCATACTGTGACAAATTCTGTGTTTAAAGCGAAACAGGAATATCCTTCCTACATTTAATAGCTATGCACTAGCTATTATTCATTTATAATATAAGGTAAAAGTCAGCCATCTGATACAATTAAGTTGTATTGAGTCTTCAACCGAAAGATCGACTTTGAATATGTAACTTTTGAAAAGTAGCTTAAATTTATGACTATCATTTATGCGTGAAAAAAACATGATCATTACATCATACGTTTATTTATTTTAACTCTTTATGAATATCCATTTCCTATATATATATTAGTCAAAGCTTCCTAACGTGCTTCTTAATTCAATCTTATCACTGTTGTCTCTCTTCGAACGTATCTCCTTTATGTATTTATTAGTGTCGATTCTACACAACTGCCTACTAAACCACTTTATAATTAATAGCTACTGTGTTTTGACATTTTAGTTTTGGGTGTTCAATCTTATGGCATCACTTCTGTTTCAAGACTTATTCACTCAACCTAGGATGGAAAATCGACTACCTTTAGAGTCGCTAACCGTTTCAGAGCTGGAAGCATTGCTTTCAAAACAGCTTCATTTGCGTGACCGGTTTGTTAGATAAAATTGAAAAAACCATCTAACAATTTATTTTAGTCTTCTCCCTAAATTGCCTGATTCCGGCGAAAAACTAATGCATTCGATTGAAAAGATCCAGCTTATTTTATCTGAAAAAAAGGTATTGAAGTCTTTAACGCAGTTGTGTGATAAATCTTTCTCTTGTATAGACGTGCATCGTTATCAAAGATGACAAAACCCTTCCCGTAACAAACAAGGGGACGAAAGCCATACATGGAGCCTCAAAGTAACATATTCTCTTGTCTGATTAAAAAACTTCCTTCCAGGTTTACTTCGAACTATGAAGGAAACAAATCAGAAACGTGCATCAATACACATCTTAAGGAAGATTCTATTGATAGTCTATCAAATAATCTTTCTAATATATCTATTAGTTTACGTAAGTCTAAAGTCTCAAGTTTTATTATTACGGTTTGATTTGATACGTTCAAATAAATTGTATACAAGTAGCTTGTTAATAATAGTGAAATAACAACATTCATGTAATTTTGATATTCTGATGAGTAGAAAATTCAACACCCTAATTTAGGTAAAGTAAATTAAGTTGAATAATCTTTCAACTCAGGGGTACGTGGATCCATGTGCTAGACGGTTAGTTACACTTACCAATTTAAATGTGAATGTAAAATAATTAGAAGAGATAGTTTTGAACTTATTAGTTTTAAAACCACTGACTCATATAACTTGTGAACTGTAATATAATTGCAATATTCTATTGAGAAAAAATTTGAATTTCTAGCCTTCTGTGACAGTGCAAGTAATTTCTTCAAAGAATAAATAATTAACCAATTTAAATTAAAACAATTTTAAATAGTACAAAGTAACAAATCAAAATATTTAGCACAATCTAAACAAGCCTAATCCTGCTGACATAATTGTTGTTCAGGTCAGAGATGACTCTGTATGTGACATGTGTGTATATTCATGTATATCTGAGTAAGTGTGAAGAAACGTGATATTTGTAATTTGAAAGTTTAGAGTTAGTTTTTAGGTGTTCTGGTGGTGCAAGGTTTGAACAGGTTGAGTGTTGTCGTTTGGAAGAATAGACCAAGTTCAATCGATAGCTAGTTCACGAAACGTCAGAAACTCTTTTCCTGTCCAGTGGGATATTACAATTCACAACAAATGTAGAAGTCAGTGGTTTTAAAACTTATAAGTTCAAAACTATCTCTTCTAATCATTTTAGGAAATTTAAGTGTCACATTCATATTTAAATTAGTAGGTACAATTAACAGTCTAGCACATTGACCAATGTATTACTGAGCTAAGAGATTATTCAACCTTATTTATTTTACCAAAATACATATGCTGAAAGCTTCCTCAGCTAAAGTAGTTAGTATTTAATTGTAGTATGTTATGTCTTAATCTTAGTCATTCAGGATAAAAGTTCAGTCCAGTTTGTTTTCCATATCTCTAAGTACCGAGACTTCTGTAATGTACTATTATCGTATTTGAAAAAACGAGGGAATTCAATTACAAAATTCATAAATTTCCCCATAGACTTCGAATGACTCTTATTATCTTGTGAAAGCCAGTCTCTTTATATTTACAATTTATCAGCTCAACACGTGCTACTACTATACAGATCTAAATAAGTTCCTCAAAATTAATGTAGTTCATAGTTGCCATTTGACCTGGGCGCACTGTTGCCGTGAAAATATTTTAAAACTTCCGTTATAATATTCTAACCTTTCAATAGTAGATTTCCTGAAAAAATTCCTTGTACCATGTGCTAATCCGTAAGTATTACTTCACTATATTATCTTATTACAGCGTGTTGTAATGGTGCCGATACGAATCCGGATGAGAAATATGATAATATTCCATGTATATCATATGAAGAGTATACTGGAATTAGACAATCATTAAATCTCCCATGTTCTTATAGTTCAAGTTCATTTCGATGGTTCACATTTTCAATTCGGTTCATGGGTGATTTGGTATATTTATCTGTCTTAGATTGTAGGTAAGTATTCAGTATAAAAATAACAGAAATTAAATTTTATCCCTCTTGCCTCATCTCGCGTTTCTGTGTGGAGCAGAATAACGCATCGATTACCGTGAATGCTTAAGTCATTCGTGACCTGTCAACAGTCCTATGATATTCATGGTTTAACAAGGTTATGCATGTTTTAATTTACACTATTTTTAGTGTCGTAAATATTAAAACTATGGCATTTTGGAATTGATCTACAATTCATTTATTTGAGAACTAAACATTCGTATTTATTATTTACTTACTCAAAACATTTCAAGAAAGCATTATGAATGAAAATAAAGACGTATTATTGATAGACAATTTACATTTGAAAAGCATGTTGGAATAATAAACTTAATTGTATCACTAGGACAAATTTGGTACTGAGTATAAAGGCTACCAAGTTGTAGTTCTGCAAATCAAGGATCCTGTTTACTCTAACTAGCTTCATTGATCACACTTATCTAACTGTTTAAACTATTGTTGTAGCAATTATTGGTTAACTTTTCCGGGCAGCTTCTGTTGGTCATATGGTCAATCTAATTCCTATTATCTGACTAGGGACAATAAACTCCAAGCAGGTTGTGGTATTAGACGGTATGATTCTATCTCGTTTCCTTTTTAGATAGATATGATTGTCACCGTATATCTAGGAAATATAGCTTTTATGCGCGTCGTAAACAATCATTCAACATTTCAAAACTTTTTCTGTTTGGTTTAAGTTTGTTGATGTTACATTTGTTTTCTACAGAGTACTGCTGTGTAGTCCATCGTTGTTTGTAGGACTCTGTGACTTTCATGATTTATCACTTATGTCTTCTGACTGTTGTTGGTTCGTTAAATTCGAGAAAGTTAAAATACATTTCTTATAAATCGCATAATATATAAACATGTGTTAAACCAAGACGCTTATCAGATGCTTTCAGGAAAATTTTGGTATCAACATTTTAAATGTGATTACATTGTATAGCATTATCAAGCAGGCAGTTTAATGAAAATGACTAGTTTCTCACCAAAATAATTCCTATAAATTTTAAAGCACTTAATCTAATTGATAACTTTCGATAGTTTAGTAAGAAAACGAAGATTATGCTAATATTATATCACAAGGTTCTTATGATCTTCATCTTTGTATTACATTATAAATCTTTAATCAAGTTTTCTGTAGACTATGGATATCACGAACTGATTTCCCTATGTTTACTTCATAGATTCTAACTTGTGTGTATTCTCACATTACGTTTTGAGTTACACAGTGTTTGGCTGCTTGAGATATTGTATAGCTTAACAAACCAGAATTGAAAAACTGTTGTTGTAATATGGAAATATTATCTTATGGATTGAGTAGTCAGTTCCATATATTTATTTCTGGCTCAAACGTCAATTTTAGAAATTGTATAGTATCTCTCTTACGCATTAATGCAGCTCTAACCATAAATTCGAAGTACGGAGCAAAGAGAACTATTTGTTCGTCCAGTTGAATTTCCATTGGTATAAATGTATTGATTTGAAACATAGTACTTTAGCTCAATGTACAAACCCTCAACTTGACTTCAATTTTAATGTATATTCTAAACTCTGTAAGCACTCTATCAGCCTGAACCATTTAAAAAAAACAGGCCCGTTTGGGATTCACTACCCTAGTTCACTTTCGATGTTCTTATGACTCGAGTTGTTCAAAAATATTTACTAATTAGATGAAACATATTGATTAATCAGTCGCTTTTAAAAAAAATATTTGCATTTATTTTAGTAATCCTAATCGGAGCCTTTTACGTGCTGGTCTTGTAAAAGCATGGTTTCCTGATATGAATAAAATTGACACAGTGAGTAAATTTATCTGTACAAATAAGTAATATTCAATTCATTTATGCACACACCAGTGCATATGATTGGAGAAATAAGATGTATCATTGGGAACAAATTATTGACTTACAATTCCTTCTTGAAGTTTCACATACATCGGTTATTGGTATGTGTCAAATTTTACGATTTTTCGTTACTCATTTACTACACCGAACTTATTAGCATGTGCTGGCATACTTTTTCATTCTACGATTGTTTAACTGCTTCCATAGGTTACGCTTCCGCACTTTAACTGGGTTTTAGGTATAATTTTGATTCAGAATATGGGTATTATCCCGCTTGGGCTTCATCAACTGAATTTACCTCCATCCATGTATTGTTCTTTCCATTTATGTTTGAGCAGATTAATAGATTCCAACTCCAATTTGTTATCCTCTAAGTTACTGGTTCATAACTACAATTGATCAGATTTAAGTCGTTAATTTGTTCCGCTGTTCATCTTATCCTACCAAACTATCTGTATGTGTCTTTTTCGTAAATTCGAGTTTATTTTTAAGTGGGGGGATGGTATTAAGAATGATAATGCAATAATTTGACATTTTTATCTCCCATTCTAATTTCAATTCTTTAACAAAAGATATTCGGAAGAGTCATGGTTGTTTACTGGGAGCTTTGACCTCAATGTTCAAATAGAACACTATGATAGTGTATAGGCAATATTATATAAGTGAATATGATCAGTTAAAATAATTCAACTTATTTTAATACCAGGCAAGTCACACATATTTTGTGATTCTCACTAACATGGTTTTTCAAACTTTAATGAGCAGAATAGATTTAAAGCTTGTAACCATCCACTGGTTGAAAGTTGAGAGTTTTAAGTCGCAGGTTACAACTGTGAAATGAGTGGCGGATAATGTTTAAAAAACAATCCATTTCTTACTTTCCATCTGTTGTTTTCAACTACCACCAATGATGGTTTATCAAAATAATCGTATAATTTCAGGGACTGTTGATACTCGAAGTCGATATAAACTGTAGATCGTTAAATAAAAGCAATGAGTTAGTTGCGTCAAAAACGGAAATACTACTGATATTCCTGTCCAGCCCTGATTCTGTATGACTCAGTATTCGTGATCTGCAAAGTAAGTAAGGCGAAATATTCCTCACCTTAACTTAGCTAAAATAATATGCAATCTCAACTTAATGAAGTCCAGTGGCGTATCTACATACGCTTTCCCTACCTTGTTCTTAATTTTTCTATAAATAACATTTTGGAAGTAGTTTTTCTTTAGTCATTTATATTATTGCTTAACTACTCAATTCATTTCCACGTTTCTTATCAGTCAGTCAGTCAGTCAGTCATTTACAACGTTAAACTTCGTACATATGTACATAAGTTCAGGTTGCCATACGCCATCAGCACAGAGACGCAACGGTCAGTTCAAATCCCATAGTAGTAGAGATAGTAGAAGTATTGGCAGTAATGGATAAGATTAGGTTTCGAAGATATGATTCAAGAAGTATAATTCAGTTATCTCACTGAATTATACTTATATTCTTATCAAGACAAGAATCACTAAACAATTGAATTTTTCCAGCTGAAACCATATTGTTATAATTCGTGATGGCTTACTGTAGTTTCGAATTATAAATAATCAGTGGATTCTAATGTAAGATGGGATATATGCAAACTAGCTGGACCAAACAACTAATCCATTGCTATATTTCAACGTTAATATTCCGTACGCAAGAATGATAGGGAGAGAAGATGGGAATTTCTGCATAGTTTTTACATCTCCACAAGAAGTCTAGGTTGTAGCAGAATAACCCTGATTATATAGTAACAGTTATCCAGCCTTGAGGTATCTTAGTAGTAGCAAGATAAGGCAGGAGCAACCAACCGAATGGAAGTAAGGTTTAGTCAGGAATATTTTTTGGAAAGTGTTATAACTCTCTCTTTATTACAACCCAGCTATTACTAATGTTTAGTATTCTCGGACACCAATTCACTCGAGAAGTTCTCCCAAATCAGAACACGGTTGAACAGGAAATCGATTATATTCCAATCACAAGGTTAGAAGGGAGACGGAGAAGTCCAAAACATTAGTACACTTATAGTTTTTATATGTGAAGATTCTGCAATATTCCCTCAGTATCGATCAGCACTGATTGGATACAAAAGAGCCAATCAACGTGCAACAACGCAATCATACTTTAATCCAATATATGTCCCGCTAACAGAAAGAAGTTATCACGACTATCCTTATGCGTAAAATCTACCACGTTTCAATGAAAACTGTGTAATTTAAAGCCTTCATAGCATACACATTCATATAATTTATTAAATTATTGTAATCTTTTTACTTGCGAAAATCTGACAGAAAATTTTTTTACTTTCCTTTTCAAACTTAGAAATCCACTTTAAATGAAATACCATTGAAAAAAGTACCACTTAGTCAACCAACACATGCATTACATGATTTATGGTTATTTTTATCAACAACCAGTAATCAAAATAAAATTGTATTATCAAATAAAACGATCTATTGCCTTATATGTTACTCGTCAAATAATAAGAACAATAGTAGTAATGATAATAACAACTGCGATGATATAATTTATCTTGGTCGATTAATACGTTCTACGCGTCATTCAAATATTGTTCGTTCAGCTCAGCCGCATGATTGTTATTTTTCCAATGCTTATCACGCTTTGAATACAATAACTCTTGACAATAAGAGTACTACTACTACTAATACTACTAATAGTAATATTGATGAGATTGTTCAATTCATCAATGATATGGAAAAACAAGATGATAATTTGTCATATTGTAAAACATCACCTATGTCTATCAATGAAACATTTATTCAAAAATGTTATAAACTCTATGAATTCCTATTTGACAACTTATCATTATCTTCTAATAACAATGAAAATATAATAAATGGTGGTGATATAGTATTACGGTATTTTTCAAATTCATTAGAATTCTTAAAGTTGTCTAAAGCGAAAACAATAATGTGGATGGAGGTAAACTACTTCTTGTTTGTTAAAATGTTTATTTATTTAACATTTGGATCAGTGATATATTTTGGTTTTTATAATTTTTTTGCTTTGTTTACAATAGTATCTCTTGTAAATAAGAAGAATAAACCTTGTTGACTTTAATACTTGGAGATTCAAACGGTTGTTTTATATAAGCTTGCATTTTATGTCTTTTCACTTGTTTTATCGTGAACTGTTGAAGTAATAATTGTCTGTTGGATTCGGCTAATAGCACTGTATACCAGTGTCTATATATTTGCGAACTCACTCTTACCATTGTTGATCTCTAATTATTTTAAATTAAGTTGTTTTAATCACTGATGTCAACCTCAGAACTCATTAGTGCACAGTTACAAGTTCTGCCCGAATGCGCTGGTACCACCGAGAGTAGGGGTATTCGCTCTTCCTCTCCAAATGCTCCCATATGGCCACAGGTACACAGACACCGCCGGTTAAGTTCTACTGACTGCCTTCTCGTGGTTGAGGTGTCGTTCACTAAATTGAGAGCATTAAAAGCGAATATCTGGCGCTTAAACCTGATTGATGAGTACGAAGAATACGCCTAGGGGAGTTAGAAAATCCTGATTTCAAACCAATGGAGTCTGAACCTATTGTTGGTGACCGGCCACTATAGGACTGCATTTCTTAACGTTGCTCCATTATTTTATGAATTAGGTTTCTAGGTCAACGGGTTGAGGAGTGGCCCTCTAAGAAAGACATCTATTTCACTCTTTGCACTTAAACACAAATTCACTTACTTGTGGGAAACACAATATACAGGTGCTCCTTTGTATCAATAATTATGTGTAAAATGAAGCGTTGTATCGAACACTGTATGGTGGACACACATTCACATTCTCATCATCAATCTTATTGTACCATAGAACGGTTCTCGACCAATGCTATCGGTCAATGACTACCTGATTCTTCGATTAATAGATTCCAGAGATAATAGCTTACCTTTAAAATACAGGGAAACCCGTCTGAAGATTAATAATCATTGGGCACACGGTAGACCGTTCGATTCTGGTTCAGTGATCTGAAATTACTGTACTCTATATACAGTGTTAAGATTATTGGTTTGATCCCAATTCGAACAGAGCAATGCCTCCTAAAGTGATGTTTGGTAAGGCCGCAAAGAAAGCCTCCAAGGTGAAGCTGTCAAAAGTTGATAAGAAGAAGAGAAGGAGGAAGGAGAGCTATGCTGTCTACTTTTGCAAAGTCCTCCGTCAAGTCCACCCTGATACAGGTATCTGCTCGAAGGCAATGTCAATCACGAACTCATTCGTGAATGACATTTTTGAACGTATTGGTGCAGAAGTCAGCCGACTGTTTCACTATAATAAGAAGTCAACCATATCAAGCCGCCAGGTGCAAATGGCTGTCCAATTACTTCTGCCAGGTGAATTGGCAAAACACTCTGTATCATTATGTTTCTGTAGCTTTATTGGTTAATTCAATCGAGATATTCCTAAAAATAACTAGAACTATATGAAACCCACAGTTCCACTGTTCATTGTGGTAATAACAAACTTTATTTATTTACGAAACAGAACTTAAAGCTATCACAACCCTAAAAACCTTACAATTAAAAATAATATCTGAACTATTTCTATATTCATTAGTTTTTATTGAAATGTTTACAGTGTGCTATCTAATCATTAGCTCCATTAGATATTTTCATCAGCATTATTTCATATTTATTTAATATTTTTGTACAAACTTAACAGGCACCTATTGAGTTATATCTTTTGCGTAAACTCAAAACTGCTTGCAATATCATGGCAAATAAGTCTGCATTGGATTCAACAAACAATCAAATTAATGATTTGAATAAAATACCTGATAATATCTTACGTCGATTGGCTGTTGTTGGTTTAGGTCGAACCCGATTAACTCGTCTAGCTGGTCTAGGTGGATGGAGACAATTTGCTGGATTTTTATCTTATCATCCATCGTCATCATTGATGTTACAAAATTCGGAAGAGGATATTGTTAAAAATGCTTTTGTCACTGATGATCTGGAGATTATTCGTATACTTTATGTTTATTTTCATAATGTTTACAAGTAAGCTAATCTTTACTAATATTTGTCAATGGACATGTGTTACGAATGCCTAACCACCGACTACCGCGATGAGCTATGTTTTGCGGTGTAGGAGGGGGTTGGAAGAAAGCTAGGGGCGGCCAAACCAAAACATGGCACAAATCCATGAAATCACTGACAAGTGGACCAAGTTGTTCTGGTAGAAGTAGCCTACTTGGTTGGGGTCCGCGAGACGAAAGTCACTGATGGTTAGAGACCTTGAACGACATGACTCAGAATCGTTTATAATGGCACAGGTGCATCCACTCTTTGTGCTCTCTCAAATCCTAATCTTCTGGATTCGTCAACACCTCTGCCTTTGTCTTCCTAACCTTATCTCACTGAATTATACTTCTTGAATAATATCTTCAAACCCGAGTCTTCTTCATTACCATTAATACCTCTACTATCTCTATCACTATGGGATTTGATTTGACATTTGAGTCTCTGTGCTAATGTGGTATGGCAACGTGAACTGATGTACTTACGTACGAAGTTCTACGTTGCAATTGACTGACAATGTTTGCCAATATTCAAAATTGTTTATTAATGAAATCAGTTTGATTAGTTTTGTCATATATTACTTCTATTGCTTTCAGATATTGTAGTGTGATGAAAATTAGTTAAAACAGTGTTTTCTTCTTCAGTCAACAGTTATTCATTCTCTACTACTAGTTGGTTAATTTCGTTTGTAATAGAGAATTTATTTGAATGAGAATTTGTTTGAATTTAATCTAACAATTTTATTCTAACTTAATGTTAGCATTTGTTAGCATTATAACTATACATTGGGATGATGGAGAAAATTTGTAGCTCAGGTGGTTGATTGTGGTGGTGTTTCGTTCTCTGAACTGGATTTTTTGGTTGTACAGCTTTCATTGTTCTTCTGAACAACATCATCAGCACAAACTTCTATCTGAGAACAAAACACCGTCATAACTATATATATTGTTTATTACTGTGGATTGACTTGACAAAGACTCTAGAACTTCATATTTCTTCAAGCACATATTATGACAGTTGATTGGAGCTTTATTCAGATGCATAATAATGCTTATTTGTATCAAATTTATTTCACTCATCTTGTTCAGTTTATTATTATGACTTAAATGATCTCATTTACCTACACTCCTGTTATTTTTGTTTTACATTTAACCCATACAGTTATCATTGTGGTAAATTTTATTTTGAATAGAAATACCTCTCTAAGAATATCAACCAGTACAAAACATGTTAGATACGATCATTGTAAATTCACATACACCTGTTCATGTTTTCTATTCACTGTTTTCTTTCCCTTTAATTTAGACATTTGGATCGTCATGAAAAATGCTATTTAGAAGATAACAATCATAGTCATCATAATAAACCAATGAAGTCGAAAGAGTTATCTCGTAAATTACATAATCCATTTCTATTATCCTACTTAGAAGATGATCATAATGATAATGATAAACATGATAAAAGTTATATAATAAATGATAAAATTCAAGCATGGACATCTTCTGGTAATCAATTATTCGATCCATTTGGACATCGTCAATTATGCCCACTCAATATGCAGCAATCAATGGATCTAATGAAAAGTGTACAAGTCAACTATGAAGTAAGGCATTAGATTTGTCTTATTTTAATTATGTGTTTATGCATATATATATATATATATATATATATATATATATATATATATGCCCGTAGTTATGAATTCTAAGTGACGCTTTTTATAGGATTAGGAAAAAAAGTAACGCTGCATTTTTTTATCTAATAATTTAAACACATGATTTTATGATTCTAGCAAATTAACTCGAAATCTCGGGTTTATATCTCTAATTTCAATTTGTGAACAGTTAGACATCTTTGGTCTTAACACGATTTGTATAATTCTTGGCTTTTCATACAAGTTTTCATTTGTTTAGGTGTTTTAAATAGAAATGAAAAATGTGGTTATACACTGAGTACTAAGAAAAGTGTCACGCGTATGTATGCGTTAAATCAAATGTCCAACTTTGGAAATGAATTTAAACAACGGTTTCTATTAGATATTACATTTTCTTTCATATCTATTATAGTATGTATGTGGAGTCGAACTTATTCGATGGTGTGTGGAAAACATGTTACTGTTTACCTTTTTATAACTCAAACAAAACCATCATTGTAATAGGTACGAAATGAGTGGGTTAATTTGATTTTTCTGCTAAATCGTAAAACGGTTCTTTTTTTTTGCTCTCCGATTTTATCGTCCAGTTTTTGTATCAATAAATATTTTGTGAAATGCCCAATTTCATTTCAGTTTTAACTGCTCTAACCGTCTAAGATTATAACTACACTGTTTAAAGAAAAAAAACGTTTGTTCAATCATTTAGTTTATCGCAGTGCAAGCATCAACCACAAAGAAAGGTCCTTAAAACAATGTTATCAGGAATAGGGTTTGTTACGATTGTGCAAAACTGCATCATGTTGTAACAACAAACTTATCTTTTTGTACAAACTGATATCTATTAGTAACATCATATATATATATATATATATATATATATATATATATATATACCTCAAAAGTAAATTTATATGCAATTTGTACACAATTAACATTTTATTTGACTTTAGTAAATACAGATGACCAACTTACATGCTTAAGTTATGATGATTGAAAGTCACTTTTCTTTCGAGGAATGAATATGAATTATACACTACCTTCTTGTTCACAACTGTTAGCTTCAAAGGTTGTTGATTTGAGAAGCTTTCTAGTATTTGATAACGTATGTTTTAACTGAGAAAATCACTACCTATCTATATAGAATAGATGGAGTGCGGCTAGCAGTGGAATCCAGCACACGCGTTTCGTCCTACTGTGAACTCGTTGCTTTATCCACTTAGGTACTGAGGCTGGAGAGCCACTCACCTGTGGTATGGCAACTTGAACTAAGTTCTACGTTGTAGCTGACTGACTGCTACTCACCTGTGCAACAGGTATGAGATTTAATTTAGTTTGAAATGGACTGATCAAATTTCAGTCAAAATATCAACGATGGGAAAATCCAATCCATCTGAAATCGAATCACTATGCATTTGTCATATTCTCGTCAAAGAACGTGAGCTGATAGTTTGTTTGTAAAGTCGCGTCCGATGTAAATGGTGTTAAAATATAGTTTGTTTGAGGATATTCAGTTATTTCTCTATCCTCTTATATAATTTTTTTGTTTAGAAATCCCGAATCAAATTTAACTTACCACCTTATCCAAGTATGCCAACAGAATCAATCAATCTGAATCGGTAAGTTTTTGTGCTCTCATATTCGAATTATATTATGTGATCCTATGTAGAAGCTAGGATAACATCCAAAAGAACTAACTATTTTGAGCAGTGAAAATGGTTCTATTACTGTTTGTAACGAGATCCTCACCTCTTAGCCTACTTGATCTATCTAGAATTGCTCTTTTTACACTATATGTACATATAATTGTATTTGGACACTTCTTCATCATGTGCTAACATACAGTACATGACTTCAGTTTAAATTTAAAATCAAGTTGTAGAACTATTATTTCATATTTTAACGTTTGTATTACTGAATTATCAGTTCCAACTCCATTGCACCTACTACATTTCGAGCAATAATGTGGTCTTACTGTCCCTTATATTAAATAGATGATTTCACACTTCATACAAAATATCTAACTATTGGAATGCTTTTTTGATTTCGATTCTTTGCGTATGCTGTATAACAGATCAATAATTATCATGTTAGACCAATATTTTCCTTCTCGATAAGGAGTGAGATCGAAAGAAGGGTTTAGGAATTTGGTCCTACCATTTATTACACAAAACGGGGAGTAAGTGGAGCACAACTATTTATTATTTAAACAGACAAACATTTCATCACTCAACAGACAAAAATAGGGGATTAATGCCTACATAAATTAAGGAAATAAATAATGCCAACTTTTAGCTATAATTATTATTTCCTAGCAATAGACTGTTAGTAGACCAATAACCGCTCACCTTCAGCCCCTTCAAATTCATGTTACTTTCTTCAATTTTCTTTAGAATTGGATTTACGAACCATTTGTTTGTCGTAGTACGACAAACCAGTGGAACGTCTTCTTAGTTTGCATACCTCCGCTTATATGACTAACTGGCGAATCTTAACAAATAACACTACAATTTATACAAATATTAAGTAGTTCTTATTTTTATATGAAGTTATTTTGTATATCTTTGTAATATGTTCATTTCTTCCCTGTAGTTATCGTGACCCATCACTTCTATTGTTGAAGGAAATGGACTCTTCGTCATCATCAAGTTCCACATCTTCATCAGATCCCGAAGATTCAGATGTAGATAATGACTCACTTAGACTTGAAGATGTTGATTAAAATAACAGAATTATTTTCCCTCATATAATTTATTGTAAATAGTTATTTTTGATAGTTTCTATAAAAAACTAAAAGTTGATTAAATCATTTTATTGATATAGCCTCGTTCTCTGCCGATAGTATTTTACAGTCGAATCATTTTGGTTCAGGGATACCACTCTGTGGCTGCCCATTTGACGAGCCATTTCGGTAATTACTAATGATAAACAATTAAAAAACAACTTCAGGACTACTTAGTTCTCTACTTTTCTAAGTATTGTAGTGGTAGTATCTGTTGATAGGGATATGAATTCTGGGTTTATGTTTTAGCACTCCGCATTTCACTTTTCTAGTGTTCTGAATGTATCTTACAAACAAGCCAGCTTCTTTTCTCCCTCTTCTAATGTCTATTCATGTAATCGGCGAGTCGAAAGTTGGATATTGGTGGTCTATTTCTTCAAACGTATTTATTCTGTGCACACTTTTATTGAAGTTCAACACTGTGATCTCACTGAATGGAAAAGTTCTTTAATTCCACTGCCCACCGAGATGACATTTTGAAACCATCGACTTTTTTGGTCCTGTAGAATCAATTTTAGTTGGTGCATACACATCAAGTCTAGTTCACGCTCTAATGCTTTCACTTCGCTAATGTTCGTATGTTTCTTTTAAAATAAGGAATCGATGTAACGGCTATAGAAATAGTAGTAAAAATACTAGTTGCCTTCGTATTTCTTGAAAATTTGTGTGGCCGTCTTTTCCGACAGTTGTCTTTTGTTTTCGGATTGTCAGTGGTTGGTGTTACTGTTGAAACAAAGTTAGTAAAAAATCAGCTACGGTGTGTCAGAATAGTTAAACGGTTTGTACGTCGTCTCTCCACCTATCTGTCAATTATCTTATTCTTAAGAGCAGGAGATGCATCTAACATAAAAAAATGTTTGGACTTATATTTTCGTTATATATACAAAAAAGTGGCCATGTGGCCGTAGACATAATTAAAATGTAGTTGGAGTATGAAGTACGAATCGCCGGCTACAGGAAGCAAAACTACAGTTTTTTGCCCATGTAGAATAAATAATAATAACATACGACGAAAATAATGAAATAAGTGTAAAACGGAGTAGCCTTCGGAGTTTGCCTGATTAGAGATTTTTATTGTCGGTTGGAGGCGTAAATAACTTTAGAAAATGTGGGGATTGAGCTATGGAGCAATGGTGGATTCGGCACTGCTACTGACAGTTTTTTCTTTTACGCTGAAGGACCTGGTTGTTCCTATTCGAGTGCGTACGTGTGTGCATTGCTTACCTCGCACATCAGTTGTCTGGTTTGTTTGTGTCATTCCACTTTGCTATGCTTTATGGCTTTTTATCTTCATGTCTGTCTGCGTGAACGGTCGGACAAAACGAGGTAATCTTGCCCAATCCGTATTTAGCTCACCACCGTCGCACAAACAGGGTTAGCCTAGGGTTAATAAACAGAATTCAAATGAAAGATTTGCTTCGTAGCGAAGTTCTTTGTTCGTACAAACTACAATCAGATTTATGGCCAAGACCTATCAGACGTTTTCGCCAACGCTTTTCGAATCATTGATTGTATTAACAAGCACCTCATACAAACTGAAACTGAAACTTTGGTACCGGATAAAAAGCTAAAATGCAATCAAATCGAGTTATGATTTTAATACCTCTGACTGCTTGTAATGTATCCGTCTGAAAATCTTCATCTACTATAATTACACAGGGGTGATACGAACATTATCATTAGTGATCCTACGTCAAAGTTACATCAGCCATAGTTTTCACATACTGATGAAGGATAGACAAATTTTCCCGGAGTGATGGTCCTTTATGACAACCGAATGGTGGCATATGAAAGATTGTTAGGCTTCATACACTGGTGCCAGTGAAGAACATTGCATCCCGTTGAGATTTTTCAAAGGTTGAGTGTTTCGGGTTGGTTTCAGCATAATTGAATTGAAGGACTTGTGTGGCAGCAGATATTGCCCCAGAAGAGACAGTTATTTATGTGTTTGACACTGACTTCATAAATTCTGGTGAATCTACACTAGACATGTCTCCTCACTTTTCGGTAAGTCACCCTTCATCCAATAACATTCCTAATCCACTTACTTCTTGACATCCAAACCATCCTCCAGCTACGCATTAAATCTCTTGCACTAGTGAATTTGGGTACTGAAAAGGGATGTTTAAAAGTACTAAACAGAAAACTTTGAAAAATTACAAAATAGCATACGAGATAATGTATATATGCTCTTAAAAACTTTGTTAATTATTACGACTGACATTCAAACTTGCTGTCAGAGCAGACATATTTTGGGCTGCTTTGAAATGTCGGGATTCAAGATTCTACCAAGCGATGCAATTTGAAGAACAGTTAAGTTTGTATTCACAAAAACTTGATGTTTGCATAATAACGCATCACAACAGTTTGTAAAAAAATTACTTGACCTCAATTATTTCGTGAAACGATTGTTTCAGGTTAAGCACTTTTGTTTGAATAACGCAATTACTTTATTGTATTATGTTGGCGGATGTTCTTGAATATTGTACGAAGAACCAAGCTTTCGAACTTTGTCGCGCCACTTAAAAAGATTGCGTTGCGTAGGTTTTCTTTGGTTATGCATTATGTTGCTAAAGTATTTTTTTGTCCCAACTCTCAGTTCTGAAGGAATATTTTGCTTGTTGAAGTATTTAAAGCCAACTTAGTTTGAGTCGTTTTCTCTAGCAAGTCGGTTGCATGCATCACCCATAACTAAGATCATTTAGGGACGGTTATCCAAATGAATCCCAGAATTTAGTTTTCGTACTATTAGAAGCGAGTAGTATCAGTGGAAATGCGCAATTGTCGTGTGTCAGGACACTTAAAAAACAAACGCTAGCTGAGGGGGTACATACTTTTTTAAACAGTCACCATCTTTCGTGTGCTGCGAATGAACATAGAAGCCCAGTTTAAACTAAGTTCTTTGGTTGTTTTATATATCTACACAAACCGACCAGTTGGAATAATAACAAATTAGTTGTATCTCGATCATTTATGCGCTCGTGTCTTTATTTTGACAAATGCTTGTTTAAAAGACTCGAATGATCACCCAGAACAGTGGTACTTTCCGCGTTAGGATATACTGGAGATCCATTTTGCAATAATGAATATAACTGGTCGATTGACTGTTTATATCCGTGATGCATCTTCACATTAAGGATCTTGAAGACTCATGCTATTGATATGTTATAACAGTTGATTATGGTTCTGGGTGGCGCAAACTAAGTTAGTGCTTGATTCTTTTAAATATGGCACTTGAACCTTTTTGATTGCTCTGAGAGGAAACAAAGATACAAAACATCCAAAATAGGTCAAAAACACTGGATTTTACTATACGATCAGGTAGGAGTTCTATAACATAAAATAAAAACCCGACCACCCATCAAACAGTCGGTTATAAAGGACTTTCAATGAATTTGTTTTTTCGTTGAACACTCGCTTCCTTTGGGATCCTGAATATAACGCGAACTAGCAGCCGAGATTTATTATTATGATAAAAGCCTTCACGGTTGGGTTATAAATTTTCGAAACTTCGTCATCCTCCATAACACTAGAATTCTTCCAGCATTGCCTACATTCCTGTATGCAACCGTTTTAATGTCATGACTTGCAGCTTTCCTTCTCTCCATTATTTCACTTGCGAATGTGTTGTCCCATCGATAATGTATTAGTTATTACTACTGTGACCTACGTGCATCAACCCATGCGTTTTGGAATAATATCCAAATCTCATCTTTGGGATCGTTCAATTCATTAAAATCATTTTGAAGCTCAAGCTTATCAGAGTTACTACCTGTTCTGGAAATTTTTCAATTAACTACTAATTGGTGTTCTGAAGATTAAAACAATCCTAATAGTTCACTAAATTGGAGTAATAATACTTACTTACCGACACAATACCTTGCACTATACTTTTTTCGGGCTTCTCTCTGGGTAATATTTCATTTACTCTTACCCTCCATCTTATACCCTGCCACTGAGAATGCTTGTCTTGCATACACTTCTATGTTGTGAATTACTCGTACTACGTATACACGTCTCAAAAGAATTGGTTTCTGAGATCTCGATGACCAGAAACTCAGGATTTTAAGGCTTGTTTCATCTCCAAATGCCCTGGTTCGGCCGAGAGCCAGGAGAATCAGACTCTCTATCCAAATGATCCGATATGACCACACGTAGGTTCCACTGGCTCGCTTCTCGTGCTTGAGGTGTCATCTACGAAATTGGAGGGACGAAAAGCGAATGGCTAGCTCTTAGACTTGATTAGCGTGTACGAAGAATACGCCTAGGGAATTTATAAAACTCTGATTCCAAACCATTTGTGCACATGGGCTCCAGGATCGTGACTGTAGTCCGACTATCCAAAGTTTGTTTACTCTTTGATCTCTGGTCACTAGTTTGACATTCTGGGATTTTTACTCACACTTTGTTTTTTCACCCTTCAAGATAATGAAGAAAACTATGTGCATGGAACTTCTGTGTCTGGAATTTAACTTTAAGGCAAATTAATAACACTACGGACTACGCTCACTTTTTGAGGACAGTTATGCTGAATCAATAGATATTTGTCGTTTTGTTTCATTAAGATTTATTATAGATACGCTAAGAATATTTTATGTAAAGATATATATAAATGCTGTTAACGTTCATTTGATTTCCCTAAGTAGCAGTTATTTCTAAATGATTATGGTAACTTGTAAAATAAATCAGCTACTCCTAATATTATATGAAGAAACTGACATTTAACGTTTCTATATTTACTGAAGCGATGGAAAACTAACAAGAAACTTCTTTAAAACAAATTTCTGTTAATTTGTTTTATAAAGTTAATACGAGAGTTAGTCGTTTGTTGGAACTAGAATTTCAACCACTGCTTTAACATGTGTAGTTCAATCGACAAACAAACACTTCCATTACTTGATCCTGGTTTTCCTATTCCAATTTTTGAATGTCAAAATAAAACTGAATTCTAGGTTACTTACTGGTTACTGATAGTAAAGATAAAACACTGGTACAAGTACCTTGTAAAATTTATGCTTCTTTTTTGCTGCTTTTTCATGCATCTTTTGTGAAAATTTTTAACTTATTCAACTTGTTAATCAATTTTTAGGTTATTATTAATGATAGAAATCTGAACTGTACGAAATCAATGAAGTTTTATTCAGTGTTCCTATGTGCATTGATCATACATACTGCTTCGGTAATCCATGTCGCTTTTTTTTGAGCTAATTTTATTTTCACTTTATAGGCAGCTTATGAAGATGCTCGATGTAAATGTGTCTGTTTCCTTCCAAGCTCTCATATGAATAATACTAAATCATCAAAGAAAATATATGTCAAAGCGATTCCTTCTGAAAAATGGTATGGTATTTTTAAATTGACTTTTTTTCTAATATTATCCTTTTTAATATAGTACTTCTGAATATATGTTACCAAATGACACAGAGTCTCATCGTTATTGTGAATGTAAATTCCAGGTTCGGAATACTGCTACAATAAAAGTAAGTTTTATTATTTGTACCGGAATAATTTCTTAACTTTCATCAAAGTAATTACAAAACTATCATGAAATTTTGTTTTAGTTAATCTCTTATGTTGCACTATAACTCAATGATAAAAGATCTTTAACAATAATTCACGATTGTAATATTTTTTTTACCAGCCGTTAAAAAACTAGAACAGGTATGCTTTTCTTTATCTATGATTGGTAAAAACCTTGTCTTGTATCTAGATCAAAAGATGGTTAACGCATTCGAATAGTTGGTTCCGACCCGCAACTAGTTTAATGTGATCGGGCTTTGTAACTGATAATCTATCATTCTTTACTGCATCTCTAACCTTTGACCAATATCACATGAAGAATTCAAAACACCTAACAGAATTGCATCTTACCACCAGAAACCCTGAGTTAGCTATAAATTTTTTTTATTAGCCCACAGATCGATAGCTTCTTTCTTTCTACCCTGCCTCGTAGTTCAGAATTCTGTAGCCAGCCTCCAAAAAATTCGTTATATTTCGAGCATAGTTTGTATACCAGTATAGAATAGAATGAAAAAAAAATACATTTACACATGAACAAGCCAAAAGTGGCTGTGAATTAGGGGTTCTGTGATTAATAAACTTGCAAAAGATTATGGATAGAAAATCCTAAAAATTAGTTAATGGGTTAATCAGGAGGTTACAATAAAGAATATAAATATTCAGTAATTAATTTATTTAATAATTACAATACAATGTGAGTATATATACATTAATAATACTACTAATAATAATAGTCCGTACGTTAGCCATAAGAGTTACCATTCCTCTAATCTTTCTCCGGAATATAGTACTATGCTACTTGTATCAGAAATAAGTAATTGACTTCTGAATGTAAGTAATTCTTTCCTAATCGTAATAAATTTTCGAGAAAATTGCGAGGTATGCACATGTGTATATCCTCCATTTTTTCATAATGAAAATTCATTCTGCCATTGAAGGTCATCTAACATTTGTTATAATTGTTAAACGTAGTTGGATTTTATTAAATAAACTGGTGTTTAATAACAATTAATATGCAAATGGTAATACACTGTGATCCAAATGTGCACATAAATAAAATAATCTTAACCTTATGCTTATATTCCATACTAATTGTATACTGCAAAAAGGGTCTTATCCTTTTAATATTCTGCACGTTCTCAATCCACTGATACAATTAAAATTATCTCTTCTCTTAAAACAGTTGAATACCTCAGCAACATTTGGTTTGATTTCATATATATTTAACGTCAAAATGATTAGTTCAGTATGTATATGTTACCTTTCTTTCTCTCTGTTCAATTATTTTTGGCCTGTTTTTATATGTAGTCATATGTCGCTTTCTATGTTATACAAGACGGTAATATTAGCAGAAACTTAATCATGTTATATTCATCGGTCAATAAATCTTTTACAATTGAGATTTTGAGTAAGAATTAAAAAGGAGGATATTATTTAGTTTCACCAAAACACTTTTAACAACTCATTAAATCTCATCAAGTACTTTAATAATACATAATTTGCCTTGAGAGCAGTTACATTTTGTGGTTTACCTTAAATTTACTGAACAGCCATGCTTCCAGGTTTCTAATGGTGGTCTAACATTGGTCGATTCATGATTTCGAAAAGTAACTCCACAACTCTTTCACGCAAGTCCAGCTTAAGCATCATCGTAAATTCCGTTTTCGGTCTCACAAGACAAATTTCCACTGATTTCAAGCATTTTAAAGACCATATATTAGACAATTTTTTACTTCGTTAATCATAGCATACAAGTTATCTATCGCCGCACTTGAATTTTCTCTTAATTCTGATTGATTCACTCAAGACTTCCAGCAGCATGTTATACTGTTACCCATTGCATTCTACCTATCAATTATTATTGCTTTTTTTATATTATTTTAGGTTGTCGTTTGCCTTATTCTAACAATCATTACAGCATTAGTTTTATATATGCTATTTCTCTTACTACTTGAACCGTTATTATCTACAAGACGTTTATCACATAAAACAATCATTGATATGGGAATATGTTCAGAACCAAAGTCAATGAATTGTATTGTTGATCAAACTAATGATGACAGGATGAACAATGCTAGATCAACTAGTTCATGGGCGAATATAAATATTCCTGTTAGTAGTAACGAGAGTAGCAATTCAGCTGTTTATTCTAAAGCAAATGAAAAAGCAGTTATTTGGGATAAAACTAATTTGAATTCTAAACAATCAATGGATTCGAATTTGAGAATTGTCAGTAAGTTTTAAAGTGTTCATTTATTATTATGCATTAATCATTAACTATAGTGTGTATTTTATTGCTAATAATTTTTTTTTTGTTGAAATTATTCTCACCACAGTCAGTCAGTTGCAACGTAGAACTTCGTACGTAAGTACATCAGTTCAGGTTGCCATACCACATCAGTACAGAGACGCAACTGTCAGTTCAAATCCAACAGTGATAGCAATAATAGAAGTATTAGCAGTAATGGGAAAGATTACGGAGCGAAGATATGATTCGAGAAGTATAATTCAGTAAGATAAATTTAGAAGGAGAAAGATAGCGATTATGAGGAATGCAGAAGCTTAGAATTAAAAAGCACACAAAGAGTGGATGCACCTGCGCCATTGCAAACGATTTTGAGACATGTCATTCAAGGTCTCTAACCATCGGTGACTATCGTCTCATGAATTGAGAATAACTAAATAAATGCGTTGTTATTTTATAGGAACTGATTGTCAAAAATATGTTCAATTATAATAACAGATTAGAATGATTGAACAGATAATTTATGCTTACATTTTATCGATTTCGTTGTGTTCACTTATATACTGTTTAAAAAATAAACATTTGATTTAAAATTTCTTTAAAGCAGCTCCTTCAATTCACGGCCGACTACGTAATCGTTCTGGGCTAATTTCAAATGATCCAATTGAAGATACTAATGGATTAAATTTGACTACAATACCTTCTACATCTGTTGGCGTATCCAATGTTGTAAATCGTGTTCGAGATCAACAACAACGTTGGAAAGGAAATGTTGAAGCACAACGTACTCGTGTTTTCAGTGAACGCAGTTTATTAAATTAACATGTTTGTAGCATACTGATTTATCTAAATCTCTTTTCTTTTCTTAATAAACTAACATTGGTTAGTGGTCTTGATTAATTTATCTAAAAATTCACATAACCTGTTAATTCTCTCTATCTCTCTCTGATATAATTCATTTAATAAAAATAAATAAATAGTTGCACTATCTTTAAAAAAAGAACTGAAATAAAATGTCATAAATCTTATTGGAATGCTGAATTGTGTGTATATAAAATTTATTTTGGTTAACATTCGATTCATTGAAATTTTTTGATCTCATCAAATACTCAAGTATTTATTGCATGATCAAATTAACTAGTGTGATTATGGATATTTGCAGATTTGATTGCAATGTAATAATATTTATTGTTGTGTTTTATTTTTCCTTTTCTCTCATAATTTTGTCTAAAATGCACTCACATGATGTGTGTGTGTGTTTAGAATGCAAAATACATTAATTTATAAGATTGAAATCCAGAGAAGTTATATGATTGTTTTAGTGTTTTTTCAGTGCTTTATTAAAAGATTAAATGAATACATTCTACCTTAAGGAATATACAAATGTTACGCCTGCACGTAAACACGTCAACTTGATATACTTGAACTATTGCGGGTTTACCTAGTCAGAAAACGAGAGCGAGGATCCAGCGACACAACCCATATTGAGTAAAAATAAGAATACGTGATATGAAGTAGAACCTGCATTCTACAAGCATCCAGAAAGTAAGAGGACCCGAATCCAGGAGAGAATCAGGATCCCGGACTAGGGATCCGGGACCGGGTCCTGGTCATAAAACATTACAGATAATGCGTATTTATACATTTTTGTCGAATAGGAAACAGCATCGAAGTCTGTGACATTGACAGTCAAGACGACCAATAGGAAGCAACATTTGAAGTGACATTGATAGTCAGGACAACCAATAAGAAACATCCTTGGAGTACGTGACATTGATATCTAGGGCTACCATAAAATTGACCAGTGGGAATTAACCAATAATTCTCTTAGGATAATGGATGAATATCCTAACAACAAATCTATCTTATGACTATTAACTCATAATCGCTTCTACTACTATCCTTAAAAATAATAATACAAGTAATAAACATTACTGAACATGTCAAAATCATATTAATATGTATATATGATCGTTGTCTTACAGCTGTCAAACATGGAGCATGGGACAGTTTGAACTATGTTGTTCAAATGCTGAAAGGATAAAACTGTTAGAGTTATGCCGCAGACATTTATAGCTTGAATGAAGTTGGGTTCACATTTGAGAGTTCGTAAACCACGGTTTCAAATCGACGATGAATATGGACTTCAGGATCTTTAAGGAATGAATGGCATATTATGGGATTGTATATTCTAATATCTTGTGGACGAAAATAGTTGAAAGGTCTAAAGATAGTCTTCTCAGAAAACCACCTGACTCGTTTGGATGCACTGACAGTATTCCAACCTCTATATAATTAGTGACGATTGGTAGTAAGCGTGATGAACTGATTGCCCAAAACAGTAAGCCTCACTAACTGTAACTGACCAATCTATTTTATTTATATATGACTCATAGATTACAGGTGTAGTTGACTGATCACGTATTATGCATCTTTTGCCAAGAGATCATGTTTTCAAGATTGTAATCTGTAAATACATCTAATGGATATGGTGATTGATCACCTAATAGCTATCAAGTGAAACATAATTTACAACCAAGTCAAACATGACTCCTAAAGGGATAAGTTTGTATATGTTAGTAGTGACGATAAATATAATCCGGCAAATCATTTGTTTTATTGTGTTGGAGAGAGGATAATTGGTAAATGGCTAAGATTTACGATATTGAGTTCTGCCATTTTTCATTTAACGTAATAGTTAATCTGTCTGACACCAATGATTCTAGATCGTAACTGATTTTCTTGGTTCCCCAAGCGCATCTCGTCATGTAATTAGATTCACTTGACAATCAGATGTAAGGACATTTTTAGGGATTAACATATTCCAGACACCTAACTACTAAACCAATAAGTTTAAAATATGCAAGAATTTTCTACTATATAGATTTATGTGGCAGTCAGTCGTGAAATGTGTATATCGATGTAAAAATTACTCCTTGTAGAAATTGTACTGTCAGTTTATGCATCTCAGAATATTAATGATGAGGAAAAACACGAAGTTTTATGTAAGCAAATATTCTTAATTAATGATATAAATACGTACAAAATATTCGATAGAGTTAAAAGGACAAATCTAATGGTCATATGACTGTTCCACCTTGTACCAGTATTTACACAGCTTGTATTAAATTCTACCGAAGCATCCAACCACATGACGCAGTTACTCGCGGAAATCTAATTCAAAAAACAGATTTTCTCTAGGAATGGTTCTATTAATATAAAATGTATGTAAATCATTTACACATCTCAACTCGTTAGATATCTGTGTTAGTTGTGACATCTTTGTATATGAAAGAGAAAATGCTTTTCGCAGTAATTATTCAGAAATCGACCACTACGTACGGTAACGTGAATGGATATCAGTAACTGTCATTAATGACTAGGCATAATTGTAGACTAAGGTGATAAAATGTAGAACCTGTTGCTCTTAAATGTCTGTTCGATGAATAAAAGAGAGAGAGAAATCACCTATGATTAAAAAAATGGAATATTACTGTTTTGTGTAAGTACTTACCATATGCTGTAAGTTTATTAGAAATGAAACTGGCTACTGAATATCAGTAAGTAGTATAAGACGAGACAAAATAAAAGGTGAGCGAAGATTGCGAACGAACGTGGCAGCTTATACAAACGCTGTACAAATTCATCACGGTAAAACTAATAGCTCGTGTAGGTGTATGCACTCTGTTTAAAATGAATAGTATAAGACTGATTGATCATAAACCTTGCTATACCTGTGGAATCGCAAACGTGAGATAATTAGACCACATCATAGCTTTGACATATTTCACCAAACTGTGAACCAACAACCGAATGTGGTAGGTGTTAGTGATCCGAACTTTCTCCCTCTCTCTCTCACGTCAGTTCATTCCGTTTTCTCCGTTGAGCAAACTCCCTTATTTTATTCAACGTCATGATCGTTCTAATACGCAGTCAATATCCGTACAGATTCACAGTTCCGTTATGAAGGGTTTATCAGGTATGATTTCTGATAAAACCACATTAAGTTGATGAGTGAAGGGAAATATCAAGTCCAACAGTATTTTTAAGTTTACAGAAGCAAATAATCCTGCTCAGCAGAATAACCTAGAATGTATGCAAGAACGTTATACTCTTCGATCTATCTCTGTGTCAAGTTAAAGTGGAACAGAGTATAATGTAAGTAGACATGTATTAACACGTCAGAAAGCAACTGCTGTATACGATTAGAAGACTAGTGAAAATGATTCCTGAATGATACATAGATGCAAACAATAGATTTGACTACATATGCAATGCTATGTAAACAATAGATTTGGTATTATATAGTAATTACAAAATTATTAAATTTACGTGTCATTGTAGTATTGTGATACAAAATAATGCAGAAAAAAATATAAGCTCAACAAATTTGAGTCAATATGCTTTGGAGGACTAAATGTACCTTCAAGAATTTAAAACAAAATCATATCATCAATGTTGAAGATATAAAACCAGTTACCAACTAGTGACAGCAGGTTAGGCAACTAATTTGTAATAACTCAAGATTTTATTCAATGAATACGAAAGATCACTTTCATATGGATGATAAGCAAGTCTATTTTAAAAATCATCTGCAATTTTCAATAGACTATTTGTTTGATAAAACACCTAATTACTGAATCATTCTTATGTAAAACTATTGAACTCTTGATGTTAACAATCAAGCTTACTCACTACTATGACGATATTCCTTGTAAAAAAAAAACACTAAGCCATCAGGTAGTTGGTATATTTTCACCATTTCTATTTTAACAAACACTCATCGTTAAGACATAAACTTATTCACTAATGTCATATACAAGGTAGTAATACAAGACTTGTAAGAAGTAACAAGAAAGTTTTCATTTTGTCTAGTATTTCACTGAGCTATTTCAAAGAGACTGAGGAAACCTTAGTTCCCGTAAGTTATTTCTATAATTAGAGTTATTACTGATAAAAACCTACTGTTCCTAGTCCCTGTTACGTTAACTCGGATAAAATCAATGAGTTTTTACAAAAAGCAGTATTCTACTATTCCGATTCTTTTAGTTACTTATAAACAATAGTCAATCTAGTTACACGTATTCCTAAATGTTCACACCGTTTAAAAAGTAAGAAAAACTGTTGATAGAAATTACATATTGTAAATTCAAAAAAAATGATTCCTAGACACTTTAATTCTGGCGTTTTGAGTGCATTTTCAAACAATAAGTGTTCTTTAACTATATTCTTTTCAACCAACTGTTTATTTTGTGCAAATTAATATCTCACACTTTAGTAAAAAGTAAGTACTCGTGAAATAGCGACATTACATTAAACCGTAAACTCCTTACTTACTTACGCCTGTTACCCCCAATGGAGCATAGGCCGCCCACCAGTTTTCTCCAACCAACTCTGTCCTGGGCTTCCCTCTCCAATTCTGTCCAATGTTTGTGCATTCTTCTCATATCTTTCTCTATTTCTCGGCGTAATGTGTTCCTTGGACTTCCTCTTTTCCTTTTGCCTTGAGGGTTCCATGTGAGGGCTTGTCTTGTGACGCAGTTTGGTGCTTTTCGTAGTGTATGTCTTATCCACTTCCACCACTTCTTCCTGATTTCCAACTCCACTGGAATCTGATTTGTTCTTTCCCACAGTAGGTTGTTGCTGATGGTGTCTGGCCAACGAATTCGAAGTATTTTGTGTAGACAACTGTTCATAAATAATTGTATCTTCTGAATGATGGCTTTGGTAGTTCTCCATGTTTCCACTCCATACAGTAGAACCGTCTTGATATTTGTATTGAAATTCCTGATTTTCGTGTTGATTGATATTTGTTTGGAGTTCCAGATATATTTCAACTGTAGAAATGCAGCCCTTGCTTTGCCAATCCGCGCCCTCACATCTGCATCGGATCCACCTTGATTGTTGATTATACTGTCCAGATATGTAAAGGTGTTAACGTCCTCCAAGACATCTCCATGAAGAGTGATTTGGTTGGTGCATGTTATGTTTCATCGGAGAATTTAGCTTTTTCCTTTATGTATGTTGAGACCTACTGCTGCAGAGACTGCTGCTACACTGGTCGTCTTCTCTTGCATTTGTTGTTGCGTGTGAGATAGAAGAGCCAAGTCATCTGCGAAGTCCAGATCGTCCAGCTGCGTCCTAACTGTCCAGTTCCACTGGCAGAGTTCCTAAACTCCTACCCTATAATTATTAACACGATCAGTAATCAATAAGTGATGACTGCCTTTTTATTGTGAAGCAAAAAATATGATGATCACTTTATTCCGTATGGCAGCATACTCCTTGTAAAGTTTAACGATCATGATTTTCAGAATAGAATGAGTTCATTCATTGATTAAAACATTCAACACACTTATTAGACAAGGAACTCTACATAATTCTAAAGTATAATACACTTAAATCTTTCAATGAATATTCAGTCAGTTAAGGCAAGTGCTTTACAAAATTGATCAAATAATCTATGTTTGCTTATGATTTTTTTTTCATTAAAATAATATTCACAATACAATTACATTTGTTACATATTTACATATTGAAAAAAAAAAAGAAAAACATTATTTATTTAATAAAATGATATGCTTATTTGTATTTGTATTTCGCATTTGAAACCGGATATGTTATATCTTTATCTTTATGTTCACTAAGACATTAGTTTATTTATCAAACATCAATTCTCTATTGCCAAGGGTAATTAATCTCTATACATATGTATATATACATGTATATTTATATGTATATGTATATATACATGCACATATATAAATGAAAATTAAAATTATTTCAAATTTTGAAAATAATAATAATTCTTATTTAGAAAAATGAATTTCATTACATGTTACGTAATTCTAATGTGCACAATTCTCGGCGTTTATTCTGACTCTGAGCCACGTAAGTAAGAATTTGTATTAATTTCCAAATGATGAATATATGTATTTAAAAAATAATAACAGAGATTAATTAGTGTTAAAACTAAAAAGTGATTGCCAATTACTGTTTCTAGTGTTTGTTCTCTACAAAAATTAACTAAAGCAACTGTATAGCTTGGAATAATTAACACGATGAACATACAATCAGATCTGTATCTCCTTACAATTCTAGGTTATTTGTTTTTCGAATGATACGGATGCGAAATATGGCCGTTAAGAGTAGAGGACTTTTGTAGGTTACTGGTATTCGATCATCGATGTCTCCGAAGCATTGCTCGTGTATCATGGGACAACCGTATAAGCAATGCTATAGTTAGGAAACGAGTTCTAGGTAAGGATGGCAAATCAATAGATGAAGTGGTGAAACTTCATCAGTTGAGGTGGATGGGACATGTGTTACGTATGCCTAACCAACGACTACCGCGACGAGCTATATTTTGTGATGTGGGAGTAGGTTGGAAGAAAGTTAGGGGTGGCCAAACCAAAGCATGGCAGAAATCCATGAAGTCACCGACAAGTGGACTGAGTCATGTTGGTAGATTTAGGCTTACTGGTAGGCGTCCGCGAGACGAAAGTCACCAATGGTTAGAGACCTTGACCGACATGGCTCAGAATCGTTTGGAATGGTGCAGGTGCATCCACTCTTTGTGTTCTCTCTAATTATAACCTTCTGAATTCCTCATAATCTCTGTCTTTCTCCTTCTAAATTTATCTTACTGAATTATAACTTCTCGAATCCTATCTTCGCTCCCTAATCTGCTACATTACTGCTAATACTTCTATTATTGCTATCACTGTTGGATTTGAACTGACAGTTGCGTCTGTGTGCTGATGTGGTATGGCAACCTGAACTGATGTACTTACGTACGAAGTTCTGCGTTGTATCTGTCTGTCTTTTTTCCGAATGCACCCATATTATAGAAAGTTTTCCCTGTTAAATTGATTTCCAGTGACTAGTTATCTAAGTATTTATATTAATTTGAATGCCCTGAAACAACAACGAATATGAGATATTTCTTTCTCGATCCTTTGGAGAAGTTACAATCAAATCCAAGCGTTAAATATACACATTGGTGAAGGTAGTCACCATTGGAGCAAAACTTGATGATAAAAATCAATGGCAGCTAACCAATAGTTGAAAAACAATTTCTATACATATCTGTAAAATATATTCACAAATTAAGTGGATATAACATTGTTATATTGTTGTTATGATAGCCGATAGTTGAATTACACAAAAATAATAGTCATGCTGAATATTTGCATTTAAGGCTTCTTATCACTGAACAATATTGTCACAAGGTCACAGTCTAGACATGTTGCTTTATTTGCAGTTATCGTCAAATCAGTTGCTAACAAGTAAGCGTTGTCGATCGATAAATTACTACACATTTTTGAAAAAAACTACATTTAATCATCATAAACTTATTGTAATATCTGACGAACGAAGGATTTCTAGGAAATGTACATAGTGTTATGTAACATTCTGAAATGCTTATAAATGTAGTCATAATAATATTTAAAAACTTGAAATTTGAGCCGAAAATTCAAACTGATAGCTTTTTGTTATTGAATTGAGTTGCAACCTGTATTTTTGAATGATTATATTCAGTTGAACCATTCTATACACTGAATAGTTAGCTTTTTCAATGAAAATTTACAACACTACAGTAGTTTGTATTTTGATATACATATTTCTTTAGATTTTAATGATGAATACAAAGCAAGACCCACGCAATGTGACTTGATTTGTGACTTGTTTCATCTTAGCTTCAAAGACAAATACGTCATTATGAAGTTAATTTTGCAAAATACGTATTTGTTTAAGTGCTTATCAATGTTCATTAGAAATAAACATCATTTTCTTCTTATTTGGTTTGATGAACAATAGATTTTTTCGAAATTCCAATCATGCATTTTCACAATAGTTCATATCAATTGAACAGTATCAGGAATCTATTCGACATAAATAAATGTCATTTGATAATTAATGAGGTTTAGAATATTCAGAAACATGATGAAAACTTTATGTGAATATTTGGTTAGTTAAACTCAATTTAAAAGATAATAACTATTATTTAAACAACTATCCCGCGCTTCCTGATTTTCATGATTGATTTAACAATGATTGGCTTATGATATCAATGAATGACAAATGTCGAATAAACCAAAAACATTCAATATGACTTTAGATGTTGATCGTTAAAAACACTATTTTTTTTCTACAGTTAGTCATCAAATCTAAATAATTCTGACCTTTATAATATTTCATTTCTTAATCTTGTATTTATCCACAAATTAATAGACACGGGAAAAATAAATTCACTAATTTCAAGATAATGGAGAGAGGGTTTAATTTGCTTCACTCATTCCATTCAAATTATCAACTCATTACTATTGATAATCCTACACTTTTAATGCTGCCTTTTCAGATTAGGCGAAAATGCTAGTCATGTTAGCCACAAGTAAGAATTTGTGTATCAGGGCATTACATATTGGTCTTGCTCTGCATAATTTAACTTGATTAATTTGAACAAAAAATGATGTTGAACGTATTTATGTAAACATTTCATAGGTCACTCACCATCCAAAAAAATTAAGGACTTGCCTATTATATCATTGTGAAAAAGAATAATTACGTTGAGTCAGTACAAAACTATTATCGTTTTCAACCTCTTGACTAAAACCACCAATCGGAACACACCTCAACGCACATGACCTTGAGATAACAACTAAGTTCTTATTGATTCATTATTCTCTAGCTTTGCTCTACCCTGCCTTTACCCATGAGTACCGAAATCAGAACCAGCTTCCAGTTTCTCTGTATTTCCGACAGACATAATTCATATTCAAGCAGATCATGTCTTATCATACCACAAATTGACTAAAAAATAACAATTGTACATGATTTAGCCCTAAAGTTGCCATGAGTAGAAAAGACTAAATAATCAATTGTGAATAATTTAAGAATAGTAAATTTTATTAAAAGTAATCAATCAACCAAACAAATTCTTGAGATGAATTACTCAACAATCATAACCGTAAGTTCATCCTGGCATTGAGCATCGTTCCAATCTTCATTCTAGTGAAAAAAAACTTGATATGTTAAACATTAGCCGAATTGTAATAGGTATAAACTTTAGTGTTGCCACTACAACTTAAAGAGAATGTAATTACTTCTCAAAAACTTTTGATTTATTAATAGAGATGATAAGAATTTAAACAATAAGTTGTAGGAATCATGAACCGAATTATTAATCTTTTTTTTCTCCCTATCAGAACCTTCCTTTTAATTCCCGAGTATGATGAGTAAGTCTTCTAATTTTGATTTGAAGAACCACTTCACTTTATTCTTTATCATGAAGTTTGTGACTTAGAGATCAAGTTTCATAGTTCAATCAGTTCTAGGAAGTACTGTTATAGAGCGGTGATTATGATATTTTTCTGCTACATAAACTAAATAGTTCTCGACATACACCAAGGTGATCTTTACTAAAAATCAACATCTCAGCTAACTTAGGACGCAGTAGCGCTTGATGACTGAATACTGTATTTAATATTTGAAGAGTGACTCGAGTAAAAATCACGGGCAGAAAATTTATCGTTTATTAATCGTAATTATCTTACAAAAACTTAAGCCATTCAAAGCAGAAATTGGCTGTATGTTGTATGAACATTAATTTTAACGATTATCTCTTAATGTTATGATTGACATTTTCAAAGAGTGGTAATAAAAAAATTCCCAGTTACAGTTGCTGAATAAATTATTTCTTCTCAACTAACTTTATCAAACGATTCAATGAGATTTGAGAACAATTCTGATTTTACATTTTGGAATATTAAAGATTCCCATTGTGTAAATTAGAACAACACATATGTAAGCGAACAATAGTATTGTTTTCGATTAGATCGTCATCAAGCTTTACTCTATAATATACATGAATATTTCTATATGAAAATGTTAAACCAATCAAGGCAATTTATGTGTCAATAATCACAATGAAATGAAAAAGATTACGTCACTACACACATAATAGGCAAAAGTACAAGTTGTTTTATAGCATTGGGATAGACTCTGTTCCGATGTAATGACTTCCAATATATCTATCCTAAAGTAAATTGAATGTTTTACATTTTGGCGAATTTTGGTTCATTTTAGTGTGTTTTGAATGTCTTAGGATTAACTGTTTTTTCAATAATAGAAAAAAAACGTGATGGCCAATACAATTAGTCGCAGTATTTTGCAAAATACAATCCTCCAAAAAATTTCTCTTCATGAATTATCAATAAACGATGATACTTATGTTTGTTTTTTTCTTACCGAAATATCTTAGCGAACTTCATGACTTTCCACAGTAAGATGAGCATTTTTTTTTATTGATATTATTCTCAGTTAGATGGTTGTTGAGTTTTTTTTTTATTTATTGTTGTTGATCGAATACAAAATCGCTAAATGGTTCAATCTAAAAAAAAAAATAACCATGATATTCATCAAGTACTGTAAATTAATACAATTTATTAAGTGATTAGAAGTAATACTTTATCTTAATGTATGATAGTTCTGACGCTGATTCAAAAGTGATAACGTGCTCTGGCATAAATGACACTGTATCCTTGCTGCTTAATCTTTGTCGCACTCAAAATCTTTCTTGAATCAATAAATATATAAACATTGATACAAAATTATACAGTTGCAATAACTTCATAAGTCAATCTGCCCATCTTACAGAATGATAGAAGTGAAAATATAAATTACTTTAACAGTAAACCTGTTGAATGTAGTTCGAAATAGTTTGGTTTATCCTGTTGTTGATAATTCGACTGAAATTCAATCCGTCTTGGTTAATGTCTGGGCATCGTATGAGGATTTGTTTAGATAAAGCCATTATGACACAAGTTTATATAGAATGGTTAGAGTGTGGCTAACAGTGGAACCCAGGATACATGTTTCATCCTATTTAGGAAAACTGCCTGCATCGTCGATTTAGTGTTTCAGTGCTAACTACATTCTGTCTAATCTAATTAGGTGGATTCAATGTAACTCCTCTGATAATACTTTATTAATCTCATTGATTCCATTTTCAAGAAAGTTTCACATCAATGTCATTAAAGAAAGAACATGTCAGTTCTGAATATATCTGCCTACTTTTCAGTCTTGTGTGAATTTCATCACTCATGTTTGTCATTCGACAACTAAGTTTGAATATCTTATATTCGTAAATTGTTCTAATATAATGTCCCAATCTATTTCAACATGGATCGTATTTGTAAACAAACTACAAGTTTTATCAGTTTCATTTACCAGCTGTTGTAATGTGATTTTCTTTCAGCCTTGCTAGTACTACTCTCATGATATCATTTCTAAGATTATTGCTGGGATCCAGCTGACTGCTTCTTGAAGTAAACAACCATTTTTCTTTATACAAACGACATGAAGACGTCCCAACTCTGTCCAGCACAAATACAATTCAGTAAAGGATAGACTAAAATTCAATAAACTTATGCGCTGATACTTGGAATTCATCTGATGTATTTAGTCACAGGTGTAATTGTAATTATTTTTCTTCATCAGTAAACTAACCTTTTGATGTATTAACAAATTGTTCACCACACACTACCTAGTTCGAATTATCATTTTTGTGTACGGGAAAATATTAAAATAATTAATTGTTATTGCGAATACTGTTAACTTGATGTTGCACACTGTCACTACCTGCTCTTGATTAAATTACACATTAAGAATATAAATCTATGCTTGCTATTAGTCAAAGTTTATAAATCTTTTGCATTTATCAAAAAATCTATTGTGCCCACACATATATATATCATTTCTGAGAGAAAATTTCAATTCATGCCATATATTTTACTTTGTACTTCATTCTATGAATTATAGTGAACGATTGGCGGAAGAAGAGTAAGATTATTTTTCCATATAAGATTTTGCACAGTACTTACTCACTTACTTGCTTACGCCTGTCACTCCCGTTGGAGCATAGGCCGTGTACTCCAACCTACTCTGTCCTGGGCTTCCCTTTCTAGTTCTTTCCAGTATTTGTTCATTCTTCTCATATCTTCCTCTATTTATCGGCGTAATGTGTTTCTTTGCCTTCCTCTTTTCCTTTTACCTTAAGGATTCCAAGAAAAGGTTGCTTTTCTCAGTGTATGTCCTATCCACTTCCACTGCTTCTTTCTGATTTCCTCCTCCACTGGAATCTAGTTTGTTCTCTCCCACAGTACGTTGTTACTGATACTGTCTGACCGATGGATTTGAAGTATTTCGCGTAGACAACTGTTCAGAAATACTTGTATCTTCTGGATGATGCCTTTGGTAGTTCTCCATGTTTCCACTCCATACAGTAGATCCGTCTTGACATTTGCATTGAAAATCCTGATTTTGGTGTTGATTGATATTTGTTTGGAGTTCCAGATATTTTTCAACTGTAGAAGTGAAGGCCTTGCTTTGCCAATCCGCGCCCTCACATATGCATCGGATCCACTTTGATTGTCGATCATGCTGCCCAGACATGTAAATGAGTTAACGTCCTCTAAGGCATCTCCATCAAGTGTGATTTGGTTGGTGCACGTATCGTAGAATCTTGCTTTTTCCTTTATGTATGTTGAGACCTGCTGCTTGCATTTGGTGTCGCGTGTGAAGGTCCTCGGTTCGAATCCTGCGAGGTACTAGGGTCGTGGATGCGCACTGCTGAAGAGTCCCATACCAGGACGAAACGGCCGTCCAGTGCTTCCAGGTTTCTAATAGTGGTATAACATTGATCGATTCATGGTTTCAAAAATATTTATCATTTATCAAAATTTAGGTATCTTTTGCTATTATTCAACTAAAAAATTATTCTACATCTTGTCTGTGTTTATCGCTTATATTACTAGACAAATGATAACTGATTACTTTTTCTTCTGTTTTTATATATTCAATTTATTTTGACCAAATAAATGGATAACTGCCTTTGTTCTCATACAACGATGAATAGTAATCTATCATCATAAAAATGCAAATTATCTCATAATCCACAGATCGTTAAAATACTTAGACCATTGTTATTCAAATAAACTTTTACAAATTTCAAATGATCAGTAAAATATGATTGAAATTTGACCATTGTTTGAACAAACTGACAAAACTTAAATCGGTCATTAGATCTTATGCAAATAATCTGTAAGATTAACAATTATAGGCTTTTTTCACTATTCTACTGTGAACATGTTTTTATTTTTAAAATTGAATAGACTTATGGAATAAACACTTCATTATTCCATCAACTAATATTGAACTGTTCAATTTTATTCAGTATTTTGATCACTTTTCGTTGATTTATTTAGGAGACCATTTCACAAACTTTCTGAGATGTAAGCTACAGAGTGACTTGATTTTTTTATTACAGAAACTGATGTACATTCAGTCCTGCATTTGAAATGTGTGATTTACTTTAGAAGAAATGATGATGTCGTTTAAAAACTGAAATAAAACGATTGAATTCAAAAGTCCTATCTAATTGAATATAAAATGGATGAACAGTTTTTCATTAGCGAATAAATCATTTATTCATTCTATACATATTAACCATATAAAATATCAACTGAAGATTCTTTAAGTGCAAACTATTCTAACAGAAAGACTTTACAAATCCTAAAAGAGACAACGAATCAAATTTCTGACAATTAAGCTTACTATCTGTTCTTTGGATTTTGTTGGGGATGTTAGATCCCCAGTACTCGCTTGATAAATGCCTTATTTTTGATTTCCCGTTTGCGAGCATGGACTGATCAGTTGACCTTGAGATTTCATACACCACCAGGAACATCCTTGGATGTGATTGGCTGCTGTGTATTTTAGTGTGCTATTTTTGTGACTGTCCCGAGGACGTTTCTATGATGTATAAATAAACGAGAATGGTGTGCTTGATTGCATTGTGCTTGCTGGGTGTTCGTAGAATATATTTTCTAAGCTTATCAAGACTTCTGTTTTGCAGTTTGGGATCAAGGTAGCCTACTTGGACTCTGGTTCATTGTCTCGTTCGCGTTTATCGACTAAGGCGAACCCGTAATAGCTTCACGCGTACCTAGTGACAAATCTAACAAATTTATTTTCATTTTAGTCTCAATTCTGAACCAGTGTAAGTTTTGTTTGATAGAAATTAGTCGTTGTTTAGTAATCTTTATTTTTCTACCGATAAGTTATGTGAAATTCACAGGAAATGTTTAATAATTATACCTCAATACTCTAATTATGTGTTTTCCCGTTAGTTGTAATTGTGAAGTTCCGAATGAACAACTATGCAGCAAAGAGTATCGTACAAGAAAAGGATTTCTAGTTGGTAGCTTCACAGATAAAACTATGAAATGCTTCTTTCTCACTGGATTTATTTATAAGTCAATATTCCTAGAAAATATGGTCTTTTATTGGAATTGTGTAAATCAAGTTTATCTGACAATTTAATATACTTATCTTCATTAGACATGTTTAATATAGCTAATTATCATTGAAGCTAATTACTGAAATAATTATGGAAGCGTACTTTCGACCATTTTCGATATGATGACAGTGATGAGGAGAATTCATTCTATCTTTCAAAAAATTTACATTACATAGCTTACCATTATGGTTGGTGAGGTAAGTTAAATAATTAAACTGATATTACAGTAGTTGAAAATAGTTTTATTATATTTTTACTATAAACAACTCTAAGTGATCTTCGTTAAAAAAGTATGAAGTACCAGAAAGCACTAGACAGTTATTTCTTCACTGTATAGGCCTCTTCTGTAGTACTCACCAAACTTGGGACCATCGGGATCGGAGTCCCATAGCTGTGCAGTATTTCTTGGTTCACAAGGATAGTTTTATAAAGATCAGTCCAGAATGTTAGCTATAAAAATTCAAAAATCCCCATTGAATCCCATAAAGTAGTTGTAAATTTGTTCGTGTGTTGTATCAACAATTAACTCAATAAAATATGATAAAAGTTTCAGAATTAATTAATATTAATCGATAATAAGGTTTCATGGAGTTCATGAATTTAGAAATTATGTTAACATGATAACAGAATACATTTGATTGCTTCATTTTTTTTCAAAATGAATGAATTCCTTACCTCTAGCCCAATTTACTATGTAGTCGAGTAAGTTTTATCATGTATCAATGTGAATAAAATTTTGGCAACAACATTCTGGCAATTCTCTGTTTTCCAAAAAATGTCTTATACTGTTTGACTATTTTCAGATCATTTTTTTTATATTGATTAACTTAGAAACCTAATTTAGCCTAAACGAATACTACCGTAGTCAAGTCTTTAGTTATTTACAGATTACGTAATTGAATGATTATGAACTGTTTTATTTCGACATCCCAACGATGATATATTATTCTGGGGTTTCATAAGCGAATCCGATATACATAAAAAGTTTACAACATGAAACTCTAAACAGTAATATTTATATTCACACTTTTAGATCTAATCAATAAGTGCAGTATTTAAACACATATTCCTGTTACATGTCGTCTGTTTTAGATCTATCATCCAATAGGCTGGCTAGTGTTTTTTTTTTTTAATTATTGAGATGGATAGTTTTAAAAAAATTCCCACAGGAAATGAGAAACAAAACAATGAATCATTACTGTACAAACAGATTCACTATAATTTGTATGTAGTTAATATATATATATATACAGTGGTCACAATATGAGAACATTTTATTAAATTGTATTATTTGTAATTCGGATAACCAACGATAAAATAAAAAACAAACCAATTTAATAAGTAAATGATATTTTACATAAAAGTGTTCAGCTGATATCCATAAACGTGGTTGAAATTGAGAAAAAAACAACCCTATGCTCCTATATCACTTCAAAATAAGGCTTTGTGTGATAGCAACATTTTGAAATCCTAATGACAAACAAACGCCAATATGACTGACTAAAAAAAGATACTGACTCATTGAATTCAGTTGTATATCACTGATAATAATAGCTTACAAGTATAGAAACATTTCTTAGTAGTGGAAAGCCCAGATTTGGACTGAATCATACATAATATGATGGTATGTAGATTGTGTACTGAGGAGAAATAATATTTTAATTGAAATAGTCTTTTTTTTTCTCTAAAAAAAAACAAAACTGAAATAGAAATTTATTACTATACTATGATGATTGAATAACGTACACAAATAATAAACAAAACTGCCAAGCATAAACTATGTTTATATATCGATTTTCAAGAATGATCTCACGAACCTTCGCAAGTAAGTTGAAAGATATGGATTTGATTTAATGATTCAAATGTCAACATTTCTATTTAAGACTAGATGATGTTTGCACTGAAAATAGCACTCATCAAAATCATTGATTGTGTACTACCTACAGCATTGTATTCTAAAAATTAAGCTTTCAAACATTAATTTAATATCATGAAATTTAGAGTTCATTGATTTGATTTAAAAAAAAATTTAGCAAATAATCTGTTATCGCGATTCAGTCAATACTACTTATTATGATCGAATGAAATCAATGAGATCTTCCATATAAGTAACCTTTTTGATAGTATTATGCAACGAATTACTTGTTAAGCACCAAAGATCATATCAACATGTAATAGATGAAAAACAGAAATATCATTATGCATGCATGCTTTAACATAAATTCATTCATCACTTGTTTTTCTGAATGTTTAATTCTTTAGATTTAATTATTTCAAAAATGTATCCAGGAGACGATGTTGAATGATGAAGGCGTATGATACATAATGAAGTATTAAAATTTAAAACAAAATATTATTTTTTAAGGTTTGCATGCATAAATTTTTGCTTTTATTATTCAAAAATAAAACAATTCATAATTATAATACTTAAGTATTGATCTGTAGTGTGTCGATTTATTTTGTGTTCTTAAGCTTCATGGTTAGCTCGTCCACACAATGGTTACTAACTAGCGTCTGACGGTTTCATAAATCAGCAGGTGAACTCATTGTGATGAATACACCACAAAGCGAAGCGAAGAAGCAATGTGAATTAAAAGGGATGAAGCGACGTGAATTGGAGAAGGCTGGTGAACCAACTCCTTGGATTACAATACGAACGAATGGGTGAAGAAATAGGCAAAGCGCATTGGAGAAGGCTAACGAGCCAATTCAAAGAGATAGAGCGTGACTAAGAATATATAGTCAGAGAAATATAAGACAGACATACGACAAGCGAAATAGGCACACATGAATTAAAGCGACGAATAGTTGACAAGGTCAAATGACAAGTGGAACATATCATGTGAGCTCATACAAACGAGACAATAATAAGAACGAATGGTACATATAAAATGTTGCAAAACAAGTGGCTTGGTTAAATAAATTAATCGAAAAGGCTGATGTAAAGAGAAATAGATGTTACGCATTTTATTGTTTAAATGTATGTAAATAATAACAGCTTGTAATGCTTAAAGGGCGTTTGTTTAAGAGTACATTAAGAGTAGTCTAAATCCTGTAAAATTCAATACCCATTAACAGTAAAAGATATTTGGAGTAATTTCAATCAATTCCTGAAAGAGAATACAGGGCACTAACATGATACTGAATGAAATATCGTCAATAGATCATTATCAGGTTAATAATTTTTATTAATGATGTTAGGGGTTAAACTGAATTCTTGCTATTAAACATCTGAAGCATTTCTACTATTTCACTCACGATTAAAAAAAAAACGAATTGGCCATCAGTGTTTAACAAGTATCGTTTGAGTAATTTCTAGTCATTATACAAAATATGAATTTTTGAAAACCATAACCAAATACACTCACTGATTGACAGCATGTCTTGTTTGGTAGTTTTTCTATTACGAAATGTTCACAAACAAGACAAAATATTGTACTTGCGATAAATAAGTCTGTATTTATTTACTTTGAATAATTTAAGCATAAATGCTAAGCTAAATACATGTTCTGAAAATAAATGTGAACATGAAACGTATCTGAGTAACTTGCAAAAAAAAAACTGTCTAGGTAATTTCATTCTTAAGCGAGAAAATCAATTTTTGATTAGAATCAATCAGTACTTGGTACAGGTGACTTTCAGGTTAACAAAATAGTTTTAAAAATTAGTTATACTTGAGCAATTCTGATAGGTTACTTTGACATATTGTAACTGTTACATATTAAATAAATTTTTTAATTAGTCATGAAGTTCACTATATTTTCCCAGAAGTTCAGCAGTCTAACAAAATCACCATCAATTATTTTGATTGGTTTATCATTTCGATACATCTATAGTTGATGATAGTTACCTTTATATGGCTATGAAAGACAAACAGGCCAGAAGACAGATGAAAAAAAAATGGACACAAATATCGATAAATTGTACCTTATTGATGGTAACAATACATTAGTTGAGTTCTTGGATTTTTGTAATTTAAAACGAGCAAAGCCCAAAATGCAGATAGTCGTAAGGTTGTGAAAATCTTGATCATATGTTATTCTTTCCAATCTGTTGGTACTTCTTCATTTCAAATCTTGTTGAAGGGAATTTGGATCTTTGCAGCTGCTGCTACCTCTGCTTTCAGTGCCTCAGCTGGAATGTTGTCTGGTCCTGCAGCTCTGCCGCTCTTGCTTTGTCTGATGGCTATACTGATCTCCTCATTTGTTGGTTGGCCAAGATTGACTGGGAGGTGTTACGCCTGCACGTAAACACGTCATTTTGATATGTTTGATCTATTACGAGTTTACCTAGTCATAAAATGAGAGCGAGGATCGAGGATCCGGCGACACGACATGCTACTCTAATCCAATTATCCCAACCCCCATATTTAGTAAAAATAAGAAGACATGATATGAAGTAAAACCTGTATTCTACAAGCATCCAGAAAGTACGAGGTCCGAATCCAGAAGTGAATCAGGATCCCGGACTAGGGATCCGGTACCGAGCCCTGGTCGTGGTCATAAAACGTTACAAATAATGCGTATTTATACATTTTGGTCAAATAGGAAACAGCATCGAAGTCTGTGACATTGACAGTTAAGACGACCAATAGGAAGTAACATTTGAAGTGACATTGATAGTCAGGACAACCAATAAGAAACAACATTGAAGTACGTGACATTGGTATCTAGAACGACCATAAAATTGACCAGTGGGAATTAACCAATAGGAATTGATCAATAATTCTCTTAGGATATTGGATGAATATCGTAACAGGATGTCCATGGATGGTGTTTCGTTGCGTTGGAAGGGTTCAGTGGGGCTTGTCGATTCAAGAGTTCCTGAAAGTGCTCTACCTTCCTGTTTCTCCATTCCTCACTGTTGCTGAATACTTTGCCCTCCTTGATTTTCACTAGTCTTTCTAGTTTACGATAGTTTCCAGCGAGATTCTTTGTTGTCTAATGTTTCCTTGTCTTGCAGACTTTTCCATCATCATTGCTAAATCTCACACATATTACCGTTTATTGGCTCTAACTGCTCCTCTTCACTTGCTTGTAACTTGCCTTTCTCTGCTCATGTTCGGCTGATATTGATTATCACCTACTTGTCTCACATTTCCAGAATCTTATCAAGAGTACCAACAGAGACACATGCTTTGTGATAGTGCTTATCGTGGCCCACAACCACTTGACATGCTGCAGTGACTGACTCTTTCATCCCTTACAAAATGTTCTCCATCATAGATTCCTCTTCAGTGAGTAGATCATGAAAGGCCTGGAACCTATTGCTGAGGGCTATCTTGAATTTGTTGAGTTTGCCATTATCCCGAACAAAGGCCTTATTAGACCTTTGTTATATTGTTCGCCCCGGTAACCAGTGCTTCTTGAGTTTGAGCTTCATTCTGACGACCGGAAAGTGATGATCTGAAGCCAAAATCAGCTGCTCTCATGGTTCTCATGTCGTCCATCGTCCTTCCGAATGTTTCGCTGATACAGATATGGTCGTTTGAGTTATGTGTTGTGATCCGGTGAAATCGATGTGGCTTTGTGTTTGCGATGATGTGAGAATATGGTGTCATCTATGATCTATTTGTTGCAGGCACACAGGTCTGCGAATCTCTAACAATTTATGTTCCTTTCTCTCAGTACAAGTCGTCACATGGTGAGGCCATTTTCAACTTTGTTGTGGCATACGATATTTGACATATTCCTAGACTTCATATACTGCTCGCCCAGACAACCGTTACTCGATAACGCTCGAAGATGTACAGACCAAAAGACGAATACAAAGCGTCGAATGCGTTTGTTGTCGCACCACAAACTGATTACCGAAACCACAGACACACAAAGCAAAATGATATGCGAGTTCCGAAGAGCAACCGAGAGAGTGGGCGAGTTAGAGAATGAAGGAATAAGGTTAAAATATACGATATATATATATATATATGGGAAGAAAAAGAAGGAATCACCTACTTATTTAAGAAGATAATATCAAAGCAAATAGAATGAATGAGCACCTAGATGGTAAGCAATGTTCAATTATATCTGCTCACACAAATATGACAATAATAAGAGCACAACGGTGTAGAATCCTTTTTGAATGTTTTGTTTTTTGGAAAATCCCTCCATGTTTACATATTTTTGTTATGACGTGACGGACTTTTTCTGTTGACATTTTTGGTATTTTATTTGATTCCGACTTGAGATTTTATCATTGTATATTGTTATTATTTCTATATTTTTTACCTATATTGAAGTTTTTGTGTTTGCTTCTGATCTGTATATATGTTGTTTAAATTTGATCTTTAATATGGCTACAGCCATATTTGGATTGATCCGGTAGCAGTTGGACTTAGCGTCACTTATTCACCTTTGTTGGATACTCTTCGGAGTAATTGTAACCTGGAAGGTGCATCAATTCCAGGTATTGCTTTGTATTTCCATTTTTCAATTAATAAAGACCGTTTTCTCCTAGAATTTTTGCGTTTTCTGGACTTTGAATTGGGAGATACGCGTTCGGATTGCACTTATTGGAAACCATTTGAACTGCTACGGTAGAAATCCATTTACAAACGGTACAGATAAGTTATTGCAATACGAATTACTCAGTTAAATAAGTTGATCGAAATGGCTCAACTAAGTTAAATGTGAACGAACTGAAACGTATGTGAGGTATTCCATTCACAAAGTTTAAAAACTGGGTTGTAAATACAGATGATAACACCAGTTGATCAGTGTTTTGGGAATAACCGTTAGTTTTCAATCAGTTCCACTCACGATCCCATAAATAATACGGACAGCTCTAGTCTCTTACAATAAGTGGCCTCGGATTTGTACAAGCTCCCACTCCGGATTCAGTGTACATGTCACAGAAATCTCAAGATCCCGTACTAAAATATGTAGTTGGTGTCCACAGTTACACTTCGCGGTATGTTTATGGAGTTCAAGAAGGAAATCTATGATTTTCTGCCCGCTTCAAAGCGTCATTTAGCTTATATATACATATTTGTCATCCGATACGGGAAACATAACTGACGCAAGGTAAACTAAGCAGCATTGCGTAAAATGTATGGCAGTCTCTCATTTGTCAAAGTGGATATCAGGGAATCGCTAATTAATGGTCGGTTCAAATATCTAATGATGCACATTTTGTCTCCACATGAGTGTCCTAATGTATATTAACTTTGACACAACTACGTCCTGACAATTTACAGCCACACTTCAACGAGTTATTGGTTGTTTTTTTTTCAAACTTCAGAATTTCTTAGATATTCAAAGCCGTTTTGATTGAGAACGATTACACCATAGTCAAAAGACAACAGGTTGTTGCCAAGAGTAGAACATAAGTTACTGGAAATAAGACAAGCTAAGCACTAAGTAATTCCGTGACATACGATCAGTTCATTACAAAGCCACCAAACTTGGAACAGAGGGTAAACTCAGCGCTATCAACGAGAAAAAACCTAATTGATGAAAATGAGAATAGTGCTCTCATTTTCTTTTCTAGATGCCAATTGAGGTTTTCTGTTCTTCAGAGTTTAATTTAGAGAAGCCTCCTCATTTATTGCAGACACATAAAACCATACCGACAAATAATACATTTTATGGGAAATTTAGTACAAGATCATGCTCAAAATTCAGACAGCATTTTTCACCTACCCATTATGAGGTCGAAGATAGCTGTTAGCTCGCGCAGAGTTTAACAGTCTATTGTGGGCCATACTTCACTGTGAACGCCCGATTCATGTGCTTATTAATGAACTGGGACGTCAAAATATTTTGAAATTACAGGTGAAGATATATCACACCTAGAATAATTATTTCAGTGTCCCAACAACTACGAGGTTACCACCTGAACCCGATCCACCAAATAATAATAATAATAATAATAATAATAATAATA